CTATTCATGGGAGCAATGACTGACAAGTCTATGCCTCGCCAGTGACCAGAAGACCGGCCAGAGTGAAGCTCTGATTGACCGGTGATCCTCTCTATCCTCTAAGCATTGCGAGTCCGCCGAAGTGCAGGGACTATGTCAGGGAAGTCTACAATAAGCGAAAGCTCTACAGCAATGATTAAGCTTACATCTGAGCGGCAGCTCATTCATGCAGGCTCCGGTTGTGTGACAACCAAGGCTGCAGGTGTTACAAAGGCTTTGACTAAGGGTGGTTGCCTTGGGTAATCGGAAACACCTGCTAACGCTTAGAGAAAAGCGGGGTAGCAGTGGTATTGTTTCCGGCACCGAGGAAAGGACCGCCGGAACTTAGTAAGGAGTTAGGAGCAGAGAATAGAGGCCTTCGGAGTATAAGTACTCAGGTTCATTCTCGCCCTTCAGTCCTGTTCTCGCCAGTCTTCATCAAAAAGAAATATCAAGTTCTTGTCGGTAGCAGAGCCCTTGAAGATTATTGAGTTCTAGCGATAGTATCTTTGAATAATCTGCAACCTGATTGTCTATCTTGCACGGCCGTCTCTATTCTATCCGATTCTATTTCTCTTAGAAAGGACCCCTGTTACACAATGCCTGCCTACCGCGCCCTCCTGGAGTAGGCTTGCTGGAGAGTCAGACTCAGATACTGAGCGGCCGAAACTTTACCTCCTTTTTCCAATCCGCATTCTTAGCAGAACGACATAAATTTTGAATTAGAGAGTCCAATTGTGGCTAACTTTCCCAGAGCACCCACGAATACCCTCACGGCATTCACTATAGAGCACTCATGAATGCCTTGGGAGCATTCAAATTAGAGCACTCACGACTGCTCTCACAGCATTCAACTAAATTCATTCCACGTACGCAAGTCTATCCTAGTATTTACCAACCAATTGCCAGCCTCCACCTCAAACAAATAGGCCATTCCCAATATACTCCGAATATTTATGATCCACATCCTCTTCCTCCTCCTTCTACAGACCTTCAGCAGCCCATGTGAGCTATCAGCAATACCACGATCCTTTACTTCGAGCAGCTCTACTATACATAGCCTATGGGCTCGCCCCGTACTGTCCCGCACCTTGAACAAAGCCTCCACACGTCCTGGTAAGCGTCCATGAAACACTCCCCACTGCTCTGAGGAAGCTACCGACATTCATGCCCAATCCTTTCTTATTTTCCCCTTCCTAAAAGATGTGTTTCCAGTACACCTAATGTTGTGGACCTTGTAAACCTCAGGTCTTTGGAAGATTGGTATCGGAACCTGCAAACATATAAACATCTCTACCCGGCACTCTAAAATGTTTTCAGAGCTCCCGACGAAGCTTTGAGAGCATCCCGCATCCTCCGCATACTCTTTTATCAGGCGGTACAACATGGTATGGCTTATTTGCAGTGCATCTGCAATATTGAAAAGTCTTTCCGATTTTGTGGAGGGGTTGCAAAGACGCTTTAGAGGCAGTCAGCCTTCCACTATCGGTCGTTCATTTGGGGTTTTTCCAGGATCTTCGATTTTGAAAATCTCAAGTAACTCCTTTAGGTTATCTCGATAGCTCCAAAGAATGTCGTCAGTGCTGTCAGGACCCCAATGATATCTTTCAGATTCAGAATCCAAATCTCTAACGCCAAGCGTCGCACCCCATAGTTCAGTATCTGCGTCGCAGCATCGAGCTTGTTCGATGCTCTGTATGCCTCTTCTACCTGACGCATATGGGCGAGCTCGCTGATGTTGGTGGAGTACTGAGGAATGCTCCCAAAGCGCTCGACATGTTCCCGATAGTGCGTTAACATGTGCAATTTGATGAAGTTGAAGTAAGACCTTTCCCGGATCTCACGGATCTCCTCTAAGAATCGCTGAGTGCTCTGAGAGCCTGCGCCGCTCAGGCTCAATGCTTTCGTCCAATCTCTCGCATCCTTGAACGTCCTCTTGTATGCCCGGAATTCTAAAAAGATATCCTTGTGTTTATGGAAATCCTCCAGATAGCTCTCCATATAATTCAATGTGCCCGTCATATGCCTCCCATACTGCGCCATTAAGTGGAAGTCTATTAAGCTTGGTACACATTTCAATGCTTTTGCAAAATCACTCCTGACAGCCACCCCCGGATTTCTGAGAGCAGCCGCGAGTGCTCCAAGAACAATCTGTCCCAGATTTTGCATCTCCCTCCCTTGCCATTGGGTTGTAGCATGATATACCTTGTTCGGTACTGCCAGTCCAGGGTAAGGCTCAATCGAGGCCCAAGCCTTGTCAAATTCTTCCAATCGATGATGCTTCTTCAAGAAACCCTGCACCCACTCCATTATATGCTGCAATATCCCTAGATAGATATTGTGTAGAATGTCTGGTTTGTTGAGATCGCATGGGTTAACCCTCGGCATACCCCAGAAAGCATTGAAGAGTGTTTTCACCGATCTCGCAACAAGGTATTCCACCAGTCCAAGGTTTGTTGTGTTCTCCCCGAATAGCTTTACCCTCTCCCGGTAATCCTGGTGATTGCACATAGGGCTCCAGCGAGTGCTCTCAAGACTGTGGAATTCCACCTCGTATTTTGGACAAGAGCCAGTACTAATATTTTGTAAGTTTGAATGCTCAAGTTGATCAGCGATCCAACCCGACAACACCGGAGAGCATAGACGTTCATATCCGTCGGCGCATGCGATTAGCTCGCCTTCCTGAGAGCACTCTCGAATGCCTTGAAAGATCTCCTCCAGGCTGGAATGCAGCGCCATTTGACTCTGACGTCGTAAAGCGGAATTAGCGAGTGAATTCTTCCAGAGTTTAGATGGAACTGGCAGCAGCCCTAGGAGAATAAACGAATGCCCAGTGGGCTTGTTCCGTACTGACGACTTGATGTTCCCGATGGTAAGATAGATTGGCTAGGCTTTCTTGTCCCCACTGAAATTTTTCAAATATGTGCCATCTGGCGGGCATATAATTGGTACCACAGTCGACCCCTCCGGTAAAGTGTTCTGTCCAGAAAGCATTAGCGACTGTCCCTAGAGCACTGGCCAGTGCGAGGCTTAGTATAGACCTGTATCTCCCACCACCAATCTCCCGTATGCATTTCCCCATACATTCACTCGCCAGACTCATTATGCTCTACCACCAGTGAATACACTAATGACTCCCAAAAGGCTCGTTGGTCCAGAAGATATCGCACAATTACCATTGGATTCCGGTAATAGTAAGAGATTTTCTCCCCCCCCAATATCCACCTCCGAATGATGCCAGCTCGCTTTGCCCAATAGATCGTTCATTTTCTCCAACCTCTTGATAAAACCTTACCCAGTCCTGTAGGAGTACTCGCCACTGCTTACCAGAGCGTGTAGAAAGAAACTATCGATGTTTCCCTGTGAGGCTTTCGAGAGTATGAAATAACGTACCATTCTAAACTCGTATGCTGAGCAGAATGGATGCCACGGGGATCGGAGAAGGTTCTGTGAGCATTTGTCGTAGTCCTTCGAGCGGTAGAGACGCTCCCCAGAACCTTCATAAATTGTTGTCGCTGCTTTATGCCTATTTGCATCTCCATCCACCTCTTCCATCGTGAAATATGATTCGGATTCTAGATCTGAATTATTACCGGGGTTTTGGTACAAACTATCTCAGTCCGAACCGTAATGGGTGTCTGAATGGCAGTCGGGAATGCTTTCTGGGCTGTCGTCAGTGTTATCTGGTGTCTCTTCAAGTTGATCGTGCTCCAGGAGTAAAAATTGGATTCCCAGCCATTCATCTGCTTCGAATAGATGAATCATTCGAAGATGTCTATCAAAGTTCGCGGAGGAGCTATACCTCTTACTGCAAAATGGGCAAGACAATTTCATCGAAATGTCATGATACTAGCAAAGCACTTGAAAATTTGGTTTCTGCCGAGGCTGAGGAGGCTCTTTTCTGCAGGTAGTGCGCAGTGCTCGAATGATTTGATTTGTCATCCAATCAGGCTCTTCCCTGCAGAGTGCTCAAACGATTGGGTTTGTCACCCAATGAGGATCTTGCTGGCATCTGCACCCTGGTTGGCAAGGCGGACTTTCAATACGAGTTTGACGTCATACATCTCCAACCTAATACCAACACAAATACCAGCGGGAAGAAACACCAACCACCACAATCAGGCGGTCAGTGATGCTAAATTCTATCCCTCTAAGCATTCGAGAGTAATTTCTGAGCACTCGCGAATGCTCTTCAGATTGAGAGAGGGTTCTCAGCGCCAAATTCAACACTATCAACTACGAGCTCAAAAGATAGTACATTCTCTTAGAGTCAGCTTCCTCGAGAACAGAGCACCAACACCAACAAGAACACAAACACCAAAAAGAACACAAACATCAACAAGAACACAAACACCAACCCAACACCAGAATGTCATTGACGTCACCTTTGGTACCGTCAGACCATTCCTGAGTGCGTCTAGAGCATTTGCAATATCTACGTTATATTTTGAGGCAAACATTGGGTATGAGCACCTGAGGGTGCTCCTAGAGCATTCATGAGTGCTCTCTGGAGCGTGATAAGCTCAGGAAAAAATATCTTCGTACTCGGTATAAGAGCACCCTTCTTCCCCTTCCAGTTCGTGAGAAGTTCCTAACCATCCTCAAGTTCAAGTTCTTCACTACCTCTCACTTCAAGTTCTCGACAATTCTAGGTTTCAAGGTTAAATCTTGAATTCGCATTCTTTATGTTCCATCTTCAAGCTTTCAAGCTATCACACCTTGCAATCATATATAAGATGGTATATCTCCCTTAATTTAATTAATATTAGAACCATACTCACCACACATTCACATTAGGCTCCAAACACCCCTCAAAGCACTCCCGGTAGCTCACAGAACACTGATCAACCTCACATGAGTCAGAAGAAATGCCAGCGTGAACAACATGGAGACGATACTAGTAGTAACAAAAGGTCCCACCAAAAAAGCAAGAAACACAAATCGTCCCGAAAGTATAAGAAACCCCGAAGTTCCTTAGGTCGCTAATCATCCCGCAAAACTGTCATCCCGGGGGAGATACCAGAAACACCCTCGAGGCGGTCACCAGTGCTTTCCGGGTTCACCCCGATCAACAATAGCCGAAAATAAAACCCCGTACCTCCACCAATCTGGACTGAACCCCGCACTCCAAGCATAACTGCATCGGACAGTGAAGGGCTCTTTCCGCCTAAGTGGGGAACAATCCAATCTGATTCCGAGCCTAACGACCAGGACCCAGAAGCAGACTCAGCAACAGGCTCAGGAAGAGGCCCACTAGCAGCAGTCTCTACTGCTTCCTCAGCACACACCAGTGCTTCACCTGAGGCCCCTGTACGGACAACCGTACTTCCCATTCGTTCTGCCCCAGCAGCACCCGCCAGTGCTCCTCAAAGAAACGTCGCCCCGAAGACCATAGGTCAAGTGCAGTCTACTCGACTGTCTCAGAAGCATCCTCTACTCTTCCACAAGCACCCGCCAGTACTTCACAGAGAGCTCAAGCACCGGAGACCCATGCATTCAATTACCGACACCCCCACCAGTTACTAGTCCCTCCTGTTGCAGGCCCGTCCAGACCTTTAGTAGCTGAAAGCACCTCACCGCTGGCAGTATGCCAGAGACGAAACATACCTGAAACACCACTGGGTGTTCAAGAAGCATACCTGAGTGCTCCAGAGGCATCCTTGAGTTTTCGAGAGATATCCCTAATCCTTCAAGAGACACCCCCGAGAGATTGATTGCCTTTCAAGATGACTCAAAAAAGCAAAGCAAAGATGACTTTGGGTTAACTCAACCTACCCAAAGTCTACACCCTCATCCGCAACAGCCTGAAGGCGGAAATGCAGAATGTGGGTTGGGTCAATAAAAGCACCTCCGGGATGGCTGCATTCAAGGCCCTATGCCTTTACTTGATGAACTTGCCTCCCTCAACGGTTTTCTGCCAATTTGGACTGTGGGTGACTCCGATGCCCATAGAGCACTGGCGAGTGCTCTACAGTGACTCATCGGGGATGTTGATACGAAGGATAAGTTATCAAGGGGACAGGGGGACCGTCAGTTCAAGGACATTGCCGGTGATAGTGATGATAATGATGATGGCGGTGCTCAAGCAGCCGGAAGACGCTCTCGCAAAGGCAAAGATCGTGCAGTACCCCCAGAGCTAGTGCGACCTTCCATAATGGTTACCGTGGTGGACCCCGATGCCCTAGGAGCATTCTTTATTATCTTCCCACCGGCTACCTATAACTGAAATGATCCCCTGAACGAGCCTTCCTTCATTGGAATTTTGACCAAGATAACTTTCTCCGAGCTATGCAACCTAATTCTGAAGCACACCGCACCTGGCAGAACAGTCAGGACTATCTGGAGAGCACTCGATAATGTTCCCCCAGCAGCGGTTCCTCCCGTTCGGCCAGTGGGGGTACAAATTACTGATTCAGAAGAACTGGAAGGTTGGTGGCAGAATAGCAATGGGAGGCCTCGGAGAATATTGGCGGTACTCCACATAGCAGGCGTGGGTGCTAATCTAGGTGGCGTTGAATCCCCCCCCATTGAACCGGACTTTCCCTCACATTGAGGAAGACGATTACAGCACGATCGATCTTCCTGCAGAGGATTCGGATTACAAGGAGGGAAGGCATCGCATAAATACAAAAGGACTGAGGGTATACTTGCCTAGAACTGATGCTAGTAATCAAAGGCTAATTTAGACTCTTGTTAGACGTCGCGATAGACAGCAGGATGCTACCAACGATGTAGACTCAAATACTTTGGGAAGTATCCTTTGGGTGTGGGGGTTGCTGACCCAAACTTTGTACAGGGGATAATCTGGACGGTTGCTGGGATAGCAGTCAAGAGAGCTGCTGACACAGTCGCGGTTGCTGGGGGAGGAGGTGGTGGAGTTGAAGGAGGTGGAGGAGGTGGTGGTGGTGGTAGTGGTGGTGGTGGTGGTGATGGTGGTGGTGGTGGTGGTGGTGGTCTAGGACCTTCTCCTCCTCCGGATGGCAGTGGTGGTGGAGAACCAGCTGGAGGTAGTGGTGGTGGTGGAGGTGGTGGGCCAGCTGGAGGCGGTGGAGGCGGTGGTGGTGGTAATGGTGGTGGGCATCATTAGTCTTCTTTGGTACAGTCTCTTCCTACTCTTCCTGTGGATTTCTCACTATCAACCTTTGAAAAGCTGTACAGATTGCTTTCAGAGCAATCGCGACTGCTACTGAGATGGAGGAGGTACGGTACGATTTTATGTTTTGGATTTCCTTTGTTTTGCGAGCATATATGAATTGATGGGTTTTTGAATAGCAGTATGGAGTGCTCTCAGAGCACTCGCGACTGCTACTGAGATAGAGGTGCTGTACGATTTGATGTTTTGGATTTCCTTTGTCTTGCGAGCATATATCAATGGATGTGTTTTGTCGTATTAGATGATATTAGATGAGATTAGATTAGATTAGATTATTCCGTGTCATAATTGCATTGCTTTTATTTCAGAGTCGAGTCAAACTCCTAGATTGCTCTCAGAGTACTCGGTATTGCTTCAGAAAGTGAGGTAAAATGAGTGATTACAAATGATGCGGTTGAGCGGATCCCTGCCGTAGGAGGATTAGCCGTGCAAATTCTTGTTGATTAGCGGCGCAAATTTTCTCACCAAGAATTGATTTCTAATCAAAGATACTGCGAGTGCTTCTAGAGCACTAAGGATATTCCTGGTAGCCATTGGAATGGCTCCCACCAAGCGCTCCTCCAGTTCAGCACCTCTTGCCCCAAAGCACCTACGACTCCCGAAACAACCTGAAGAATATGAGGATTTACTGACTGATGAGGCTGAGGTACCTTGCCGACCATTGACTCCACTGCCAGCCCGCACTCGGAGTAGTCAATCGATCACCGCCGCTCAAATAGCTCGTAAAGGCCTTCTCCATTCTTCCGAAACTCCCACTGGAAGAAACAGTCCTAGAAGGGTAGAATTTCATCTCCCCGACGACCATACTGACCTTGTTGAAGTGCAGGAGCAGGCTCAAGCAATAGAGGCACCGGAGGTGGAGGAAATAGTTGATACCAGCCACTCAGAGTATGATGATTCTCCAGAGAACGAGCTCGAGAGTTCTGAGGAGAATAAGGATGAACCGGAGGATGAACCTCAAGCCTCCACCCAAAGGTCTCAGACTGTCAGAAAGAGACCTCACACAGCTCCACAGACTACTGCCAAAGCACTAGACAATGCTTGGAGGAAAGCAACTGGCGCAGTAGCGGAGGTAATTGCTTCCTCCGACGTGTCAGTGGACGTGATACAGGTTTGACTCTATTCTGCTCATTTCATTGGTTTTATTCAATAGACTCGGAGGCTAACGGTTCAGAGGGGAGCTCGACTGGGCCCAAATGTAATCCGGAAACAGGGTCAGGATAGAGGAGCACCCATTTCGTAACCTAGCGAGAATGCATCTCAGAGAGCATCCATTTCGGCACCCAGCCAGAATGTATCTCAGAGAGCACTCCTGGCATCCCAGAGAGCACCGCCAACATCCAAACAGTCTAGGCCTTCTGAACCTGTTTATTATCATGATAACAGCTTTTCAACACGCCATATCGATCTTTCCTCAATGCGCTCTCGATACGGGGAGTCCTCACCAACTTACCGGCCATATCGTTCTTCATCTACTATTGACGGAATTGGCGAGAGCTCTGTGAGCAGTCCTCGGATTCCTTCAAGCCCTCAAATTCCTTCAGCCCAATCTCACAGCCAAATTCGATCGCAAGGAGTCTACGAAATCGACTATCTTCCCTCATCCAGGGAGAACGAGAATGCTATGAGGGCGGAAAGCGAGGTTCGTATTCCAGAGAGCACTCACGATGTCTTTGAGAACACTGGTGACATTCCTTCGAGCCAATTGACTCAGAGGTCTTTGTTACCCAACTCGAGGAGTGCAAATGTACTCTTAATGCAAGTACAGAGGATTGGGAAAGAGTGCAGCATATTAATCGGGGAGCATATGCTTCTACATGAGCCGTTTCCACCTGCAGCAAGACTTTTGATACTGGTAGTGAGCATGTGGGCAACTGCAAGTCACTGAGTGGGGTGTAGAGTAGACCTTGATGAGGTCGTAATTAAACAAGTGAGTGCTCCTGAAATGATTACGAGTGCTCTGGAAGCATAATTGAGAACGATAGGTCAGAAGTCTGAACTCCCGTGTCCGTTCCCACTTGATGCACGAGGTAAAAGGGCACCTGGTGGCCTATAGGATATACAGGCTTGGAAATCTTGTGGGGCCTGAGGCAAGGACAGCTCAAGTCGAATATCTTTTGAAGAATGATCATTTCTTGAGCCCCCAGCAGCATTACAAAATATGATCAATGCCCATAGAGCATCCAGAATGCCCACAGAGTATCTGAAATGCCCACAGAGCATCTGGAATGCCCACAGAGCACCCGGAATGCCCACAGAGTACCCGGAAATGTTCAGAGAGTACTCAAGAAAGCTGCTAACAGATACTAGACCTACTGACTGCGCTTCCTTGCCCCAGGAATCGTCGATATATTATATTTTAAATACTTTGATGGCATCAGGATGTGAGGGGTTAGAGACCCCGAATTCCTAGAGCGGATAACGCCTACACTCATTTGCTTGATATTGACGGCGATCTGGCACGGCATTCCGGCGTGGTCAACAAGGACTTAAGTTAAGCCTGATCATTTTCAGTCGCAGAAAGAGAGCGTTGTTAGTAAGTATTGCCCAATGCCCTCACTGGTATGACGGGTGCTTTGGGAGCAGTAAGGGATGCTCTCAGAGCTATACTGGGTTGCCGAGCTGACATCCCCACTCGAGTAGAAACGTTCAACAGGATGAGTAACACATGGAAGGGGAGGAGTAGACAGAATCAGGAGGCAACCTTGGAGGTAATCAAGGATAACCCTCGAGAAAAGGTATGCTACTATGGCGGCAATGAGTATTGTATTCTAAATACTTATCTTGATAGATACGAGAAAAGACGGGTGTAATGATTGAGGTGATATCGGAGGATGGGTTTAACGAGGACGATGAAGCTTTGGCTGCGGATCTTGCCGCATTCCGAAATGCTTGGAGAGCACTCAGGGGTGCTCCAGGAGGTCTTTCAAGTTCTGACAACCATCAGGACGACGTGATTCATGCCCAACTTCGCGGTATTGACAGTGAAGAGGAGGGAGAGGAGGAAGAAAAGGAGCAAGAACTACCAGTAGCGGGGAATTACAAAGGGGACGGGGAGGAAGATGTCTACAACACTCCCGAGTTCTTTGGGAGAATACTCGAAAGTGCTTTGGAAAAACACGCGCGAGTGCTTTGGGAGAATACGCGCGAGTGCTTAGGGAAAATACTCGCAAATGCGTGGGGAGAGCACACCCCAGTGCATCGGGGATAGCTGGAGATTTGTTCTGATTCATATTTTGTATTATATCCAGTAAGGGAGTTCAAGGAGGTATTGTCATTAGTATTTAGTAATAGACAGGGGATCACAGTCTTGAGTGCTCTGTAAACAGTCTCGAGTGCTCTGTAAACAGTAGAGATTGTAAGGGTATGCCTGGAGATAAAAGGGTGTCGAGGGTGCCCCAGGTTCAAAGACCCAATCCCAGGCACAGCTGGAGCAGTCGGAGTACTCCAGAGCTGCGGGAGTGCTCCAGGAGCAGTCAGGAGTGCTCCAGGAGCAGTCAGGAGATACGAATGCCCAACTGGCACTCTCAAGCAAGGGGACTAGCATCGGGGTAGCGCCGGGCACTCGCGCTCAGTGCCCAGGCGGGGTCGGAGGGCTAGTGCATGCCGGGGTGAACTAGGATGCACTGGGGCAGAAAGATGCATGCCAGACTGCGCCAGCAGCACTTGCCGTATCTCTGGAGAGGTAGTTTACCTACCGAGCGCCCTGAGCACCCTGAGCGCCTTGGGCATCTGGCGATGGCTGCAGGTTTGCTGATGTATCTTCGCGTTTCTCGTGAGGATGCGTTACCCGAGGAGAGAAAAGCGGTGGAGTTCTTTGGTGAGAAGGAGGCTCTGGAGAGAGAGAGGAGAAGAGTTCAACCCGGAGAGGAGGCGGACAAGAAGGTACATTGTACCTGAGAAGTAGGCTATCCCCAGAGGGAAGAAGGAGGGAGAGGAAGGACTTGCATGGACAATTAAGCCTAACCAAACTCTTTAGAGGAGGTGTGAACCTGCTCTTCGTGAAGTCTTGGCGGAGTTGAGGAAGGGTGTTGAAGGAACAGGAAGGGATGTGTCACAATCCTAGCTCCAGCCCTAATATGTATTTGCAACTCGCGTGCAGGGGTAACGTATTCTACGGTGTAACCGCTGAATACCGGGTAACCACCCACTGACAGTGCGCACGAGCATGCACCCACCAAAACTTAAGTCTCGAGGTAGTGAAAATATCCGTAGAACAACCCAAAAATGCCGAGATACAAGGGAGAACAACTGGAGGATAGGAAGAAGTTAATACAAGATACTCTCTCACATTGTAATGCCTTTACTAAACCCTCTATGTACGCCTCTGCTGATACTTTTGATATTCCCTGGAACACATTGTGAGATAGGCTAAATGGGGCTCAAAATCGCCGAGATGCAAACCGCTCAATGCAGCTACTATCTGAGCTTGAGGAGACTACTATTGTGAGGTAGTGTGAGCGGATGGATGATTGGAGCTTCCGATTAAAGTTGTCCCTAGTAAAAGAGATGGCTGCCTATTTGGTAAAAAAAATAGGGAAATGGGGAGGTGGCTAGGAAAGCACTGGCTTGCCCGCTTCCTGCAGAGGAATCCAAAGCTAGCTTCAAAATTCAGTGCTAGATTGGATAAGCAAAGGGCATTGGTTAGTAACAAGGATTTGATTAGGGACTATTATAAAAATGTATGTCCGCTCTCAAGCCGCACTAGCCGCACCCCTACCATACTAGCCGCACTCCTACCATACTAGCCGCACTAGCACCAGCTTGAAAATCCGCTGACAGGGGTATTCATTAGCTCAAGCAGGTTATCAATCTATATAATATCCTCCCCAAAGATAAATATAACATGGATGAGAAGGGATGTATGATGGGTATTGCAGCTAAAGTCAAGGTTATTTGCCGCTTTGAGTGGAAAAATCCGAGGTTAACCCACTCTGGTAACCGCACATGGGTGACAGTTATTGAGGCGGTCTCGGCGGTGGGGGTACCGGTACCCCCTATGATAATTAAACAAGGTGTGGTATACTACATGGGCTGGTATACGGGAGTTCAAAAGAGCGGCGATGCAGCCACATTCTCATACTCCTCAAAGGGCTGGACTGATTCTAAATTGGGTATGGAATGGTTGGTTGAGAATTTTGACAAGCATACTAGTAATATGTGAGTAACCCCGCCGGGTTTTTCAGGCTCTTACTGACTAGTGGATAGAGCTGAAGGTGCTTATCGCCTGCTGATCTTGGATGGGCACATCAGTCATGTAACATTTGAATTTTTCAGTTATTGTTTGGATCACAAAATTAAACCGTTTTGTTTACCACCGCACTCTACACACCTCTTGCAGCCATTGGATGTTGGGTTATTCAGTCCTCTTCAACGTCATTATAGTAACATATTGAACGAAAACATGGAGGAGGGGGGCGAGGACACGGGGATCAACAAGGGTACATTCCTAAAGTGGATAAAAACCGGCACTAGTGCACCACATCTGGCTAATCATCTGCAGCTATCTATTTGAAGCTAGAAGGTGTGCATACACCAAGAAAAACATCCTCGCAACATGGGACAAAGCGGGTATAGAGCCATTTAATCCCTGCTGAGCTTTAGATTACATCGCCGCTCCGCCGCCAAGCATCATCTTTCCTATTTCGGGACTCACCACTCCTCGTACTACTAGAATGGCTAGATCTACAACCAAAGAGGCTCTTACCTTAATACATAACACCAGTAACAATACAGTCAAGCTAAGGGCTTTAGTTAAACAAATAGATAAGAGTCTTCAGATTTCTATTACAGAAAGGGAAATATGCGAGCATATTAGTGCACAGTTCCGGAAATCCGTCGCCAAAAAATCTGCCAGGGCAAGCACAAATGACAGAAAAGTACTAAGCAAGGCGAGGGTTATCACTAGTGAAGATGTGGAGGAGAAAGGGTCTCCAATTCCGAAAATTGAAAGGCCAAAGGGCAGGAAAAAGGTTACTATATCAGATGCAACTATTGTCTATGATTTAGAGTCTAATCTAGAGGGTGGTGGTGGGTTGGTGGAGGAGAAACTAGAATGGGCAAATATTGATGATTTTTCGGAAATTCAGACCCCCCCACTGCCCCAAAAACCTAGAAGATGTGGCAGAAAAAAAGCTTATAGTAGATAGTTTATCTCATATCTTGTTCTGTCCTCGAAGAGTGATTATGAATGAGTTTGGTTGGGCGGTTACCCGGTACTGGGCGGTTACCACGTAAAATACGTTATGTAGGTGAGACTTGGTGAGACTTATCCCCCACCCCCGAAGTATATAGCTCACGATCACTTATGTGAGACGGACCGTGTACCTACAGCTTGCGGTAAAAGTATGGGAGGAGTCCTATTAACTTACCCAACCATAAAAACCCTGTTTTTATAACCTTGTTTCTACAATAATTCTACCTCCCGCTGTATTTTTTTTCCTTCTTTGTATTTGCTTTTTTCTTTACTTTTCTTTTCACAGGCGATGACAGCTACAGTCGCGTCTGTAGTGCAGCTAGGCTTTTGGCTTAGCGCACGCGTAGCACGCCCCGAGTATCGCGGGACGTTGTTTTATTTTCTGTTTCAGCCTTCTGTTTTTTTCTCACTCGTTTTATGTTATCCCTTACACGGTCAGTCTGAATTGAAATATAAAACTAACCGTATCTGTGCATCTGTGCTGTGCTGAACGCACTGAATGTGTACGCCGGAGACGTTCACAGCCTTAATGCGGGGATAAGCATGAACGGCGCACAGAACATATGCCGGAGACGTTCACATCTTTAATGCGGGGATAAGCCTGAACGGCGCATAGAACATATGCCAGATACGGTTGGCCAACTATTTTACACTTCAATTCTGACTGACCGTGATACTCCACGTCCGGACCATAAGACATGCAAGTGATCGTGAGGTACAATTCGTGGGGGATCCATCGATCCATCATCGGAGGAGAAGAAAGGTTCAGTCGAATGAAAACGGGGAAAAGAAAAAAGGAATGATCATGGAAAACGCAAAGAATACAATAGTCGAAGGAGAGTAACATTTACATGACAGTCAAAAAGCAAAGAAGAGGACGTTCGAAAACGTACGCCCGCGAGATCTCGGGTATTAATTCCGTGATCATGAAGCTGGAAAAAAAAACTAGATCGCGATAAATATATTCGGACGCCGGGCGGGGCGGATTCCCCATTAATACGCACACCCCCCTCGCCACAACTAAGTCGATCTACATCAGGAACCCTTATTATGGATCAAGTACCGCGGGATTTAAGAAAATTCGTTACGCTACAGCAGGGGTATTCTCTACGACTCTATTCATAGCGTTTCCGAACACGACCAATATTACATAACATACAAAAAGGTGGATTTGGCGCTTTTTTGTATGGCATGCAATAACAGTCGTGTTCGGAAACGTCATGAAATTAGTAGTACCAAAACTTGCATATTGATCGACGTCCAAATCCTGGTTGATGTCGACCTATGGTAGAGCCATCGATGGCGCAGAAGACACAGAATTGCTCCCAAGGTACCCGTCGATGTTGGTATTCATATACCCATGATGGGAAGACAGGTCCGATGCTTGATAGTTGCTCGGGGGCATGTCAGGCCACTGCCTCTGGTTGGCTTATACCCCTGCTGAGGCTCTCAAATACAGCGGTAGTCAACTTTAACCACTTATATCATCGACCACCTGCACCGGCTACCATACGTAGGTACATAATTTGTGGACGCGCGCTCATTCAGCACAGTCGATTCACTAAACACCTCCCTCCTTATCCAATATATTCTAGGCGTTCTTAAAGCTTATATAATTATGCCATGCTCATCTGATCAACGTCCAAAGAAACAGAAATTATAAAACCTAGGCCGGAAAGGTCTATAACTACTGTACTTCGACCCGTCTTCAGAGGGAACAAGCTATCACCCCATCTTGCCTTATTATCTCCCCTTATAATTAATGCGGCTTCCTGTTTACTATTACATACAACCCACAGGCCAAGTCGTATAACGAATAGCTCGCACGGATTGTTGATTTACCGCTAGGGTTATATATATATACCGGTTATATCCTTTCAATTGAACCTCATCCGGATCCTCGCGCACGATATATCTAGGAAAGAAAAGGATGGCTTCTAATATACTGCAATCTACTACCCCTAATGAGAGACTTACTATCGAGATCAAGGAAGAGGGGAATATTAGAAAAGAGCCCAAAACACTTTTGTGTTGGTATTGTGACTACGTCACTATATCTAGTGCTAACTCACTAGTAAAGTGTTTCCGGTACCGTAATATCAGTCGACAAACTCCTCCCCGCAATTGACATTTAATATTTTCTAACACGAGGTGATATAGTAACCATGTGCGGCGTGTTCATATCAAGCATCTACAGTGTGAGACCTGCGGTCAACGCTTCGGTGGACCTTTTGAATTGAGCCGCCATTCAGTGGTAAAGCCGCGGGGCTGTGTTATGAAAGAATTCGAAAGGCTTCCACAGTACGTGAGAAGTCACGGGGAAAGGATAGACCGCTGCTCCGGATTGGGCGAGCTTCGGCAGGCGATGTTTTCCAGCCTTGAAAAATTATATGACACCAAGGATGGCACTGATAGTAAGCATGGCATAAAGAATTTGATTCCGATGAGTGCTACAGTTGTTTAACTTGGACTGAACTAAATGTACTCCTAGATTTACCCAAGGGAAACGAATTGATGAATCAATCAACTAATGAGCCTAAGCAAACGAGCGACTCGGCTGGGGGGAATGCCGAAGTGGACGAGACCGACCCGCAGCATGGTTGGAAAGCGAACATAGAGGAAGACGATGAAAAGTGGGAAAATGATTTTGTGTACGACAAGGAGGGCTGGTTAGGTTTTTGCAGAGAAAATTGTAATTAAGGGCACGTTCGGCTGCAGTTCAAAGCGAGGTTTCAGAAGGAAGATTTGTATGGCAATTGCAACGGAATAACATAACTTTGTTTCGCAAAAAAATATTTGTGCTGGGTCAACCAATTTTTAAAATCAATGAGGACGTAGAACCTACTTTCTACATACAGACCTTTACTTCAATTTATAGTACGGCCCTTAAGCCTTAGAAAGGATATTTTACTATATGTCGGTAATAAAAGTTATATAATTATACCGGTATGATCATGTACATACCTTAACCATCGAGGGGCAAAAGTGAGGCTCTGTGGATGGTCTTGGAAGATAGAATCATGGGTAATCACTCGGTCTTATTTAAGCTTGTTGAATGGCATATGGGATCAAATTAATACTTACTCAGGTTACGCACGGTGCACTCAGCTGACATTGGCTTCTGAACAGACATTTTAAGCCACCGTCCGTTGCAACAAAAAAAAGATCGGCGAAAAAAAAGATAATCCTCCATACGAGGTACGGTTGGTGTGATCAGGTAAACCACAGCGGGCCTGTGAGCGGCGCAGAAAACACCACACCACCTCCGGCTAGTAGACGCTGATCTTTTTATTTGCCGATCTTTTTTTGCCAATTGGAACTGGTATCCCCTGGTGATCTCTAAATTTGAGTGGGGAAACAATGTTCGGGTAAGCAGTTTTGCCGCATTTGCAAGTCTCGCTTATGTGCCATAAACGTTGTCACTTCCTGGATAGGCCACGCTAATGCATCGGCAATAACCACAACCAAATTTCAAATTTGTATGGTAAACACCCGATTCCCAGTCTGACACAGTACTAGGTCAAATACGTTACACCGGAAACTTGATTGAGGCTCTACTACATACTTCACTGCGTACCGGTTTCCGGATAATTCCGTATTAGTTGCATATTTTACTCGGGTGTTCATTAAATGGTCGGATATCGTTGCAACCAAATCCCTACTAAGAATTCCGACCATTTAATAAACGCATGAGTACACAGTGATCCTATCTAGGGATTTTATCCGACGTGCGCCAGTTCCCGGTACTCTGTTTGCTCTGTTTACTGTTAAAGAGCCTTCGCGCAAAAGACCCCAGTCCCATTTTCCGGTAACCTGATTGGTGCCGGTCATCCCATTATCCAATTAGATAATCCTGGAGTCTTTTGCGCAAAGCCTCTAATAGAGAGTATTTGCCAACCATCAATTTCGACTATTGACACTTCAAATTTGACAGTTGCGGGAGGCAAAATTGACAGTTCCCCTCAGTGGCCAAATCGATCTAGTTAACGGTATGACAAAATAAACTCTGAAAATCAAACAGCTTGTCACGCTACCTGTGAAATACGGTGTCGGGACTTAGAATTCATACCCATGATGCTAATTACGGTAGTGCCAAAACTAGGTAATTGTAGTCCTCCTAGTATATCTCACAGCACGCCGCCCCACTGAAATTCAAAATTGACAGCTCCGGTTGCCATTTTGGAGCCCTACAATTTGTAAATTCCTGAAATTGACAGTTGTCAAATACTCTCTAATCCATTAAACTGTACAGTTTCCGGTAGAATTATTGCGAAAGTCAGAGCTAAAAGAGTGGGTTTCTTGGTCCGTGCTCACTGCAAAAACTTCTTTAAGGGCCAATGGGACTATTGGATCACGGAAAACCCACTTTCGCAATAATTCTACCGGAAACTGTAGTGATGGTATCCCTTAGGCCGTCAGGCCGAATCGCAATGTGTTACCGAACCTGATATGGTTAATGTTCTCTGATAAACGCTTTGAATGTTCACTCTCTCCTTGCGTATAATACCATACGCTAGAGAGCTCCACCTATTCCATTAGAGGCAGGGAGAGAATGAACAGTAACTGCGTTCAACTGAGCACATTAACCATATCAGGTTCGGTAACACATTGCGATTCGGCCTGACGGCCTATGAAGGGATATCAAGGGGTAGGCCGGGTCAGGCCGGCTAAATATGTACATGCTAACTAAGCTACTTGTCCTGCCCGTCACAAGCCTTGGCTAACAATCCCCATCGGTGAAGTGAACACTTGGCTTTGGTTGGATGCGGGGCCGCAGTACTAATGGGATGAAAGGGAGTTTACTAACGATAAGCTAACCCGAAAATGGAAATTTAATAATCTCAAATGATTAAAGTCCCCTAACCCTTAGCTTGCGGGTACTGTTTTAACGTTTTTGATCATTGCCGTCTTTGAGAGTTATCGAGGCTAACGGGAGCGGTAGAGATGTAGTGATTAATGGCGTTATTGAACTCTAAACTATCAGATTTCCACTCATCCCAAGATAGCAGAAAGGGATATATCGCTTCGTTCGTTGTAGCAAAAACGGAGACATATTAGGCCCATAACGGTGTGGTGATATTCAGGAAATCTAACTATCTACAGACTTGGAAACACCAGAAAAGGTACAGGAGGGGTCACAGAAGGTGACTTCACAGTAAAAAGGTTCACGGAGTGAGGGTTAGGTTTACTACCGAGTAAATGTTGGCTACTAGCTCCCGGTCGTGAAAACACACGAAGGGATATGGATTTATAATCTTCGTCAAACGTATTTGTAGTGGATGTGGTGAGCACGAGACGAAACGTCTCGAGACAAAAAAAATACATAGCTAGAATAAGAGAAGACAAAAATAGACAAAACAAAAAAGTCTATTGCAACTCTCCTAATTAATTAATTAAACAAAAAAAAAACTGCAACTCTCCTGAATATTCGAGTGATAGTCCGTGACCGAGATTCCAGAAAACCTGGTTCTGCTGGCTAATTCACCCCCTCAAACGTCATAACGTAACAAACAAACTCATACGAAAGATCAGCCAGATGACGCCAACCATAACTCTTGAAACTTTGCACAATTCATGGCTCAGGTATTGTCAATTACCAGGCCTCTATAATTCATAATATAAGGTAAAACATCCTAAAATGCGATCGTGCGTCTTTTTTTATGTTGTGCTCATCACTAGGACTCAAAATCTAGGATCACCAAAGCTTCTGTAGCATTACTTTATGGTTTCGATATTATTATGATGGATCATATCCTATCACTCGAGTATCGCGAGGCCGGAGAGTGTGGGGTGATTTAGTGAGGGACAGAGAGCAATTATATTAGGGTGAAAGCCTTCGGAAGATGCTTGTCTTAGCGTTAGGTAACGATACATTAGACATCCCAAAATACCACTACAAGGAAAGATACTAAATATACTAGTATCTAGGGCACTTCGGGGTCTTCTGGTCATGGTTGTGCTAGGAATGCTACTACTACTGCTTTCGGTGGATATCCGACTCTTTTCTGCGAGCCAACTACCCCCCACGTACTTCAAAGTTACTCCTCGAGAAGATCATGATAAGACAAAAGGTTGAACTGTACAGTGTGATCCACGAGGGGGCTGATCGAGGCCATGCTTGAGAGTGTCCTCGAGGTGCCTTGTCCTCGTTGACCTCTATCCTTATCTCAATCAAGCATATTCACTGCACGTTTCTATAGATGAGAATTGTCGGCCTTGGAGGTCCTCGAGCTCGAGTCAAGGAGTCAAGGAGGCGCCGTCCTCGTGGAACACGCTTGGGCACCCATTTATTGGCGACCGGAGTTCGAGCTATATAGTTGGCGCCGGCATGATTGCATAATCTGCTGAGTTCATGATACCAAAAGTTTAGTATATTTTCTGTTTGAGGTTATAACCGCTACCTATATCTTGCAGTAAAAACAATGTTAAACCCTTTCTATCAAGAAATCGAAAAGTACCAACATCTGGTCGCTGGACACGCCAAGAAATTCGACAAGTAGTATGGTAGATTGAAGTTCAACCATTGAAGCTCGCGGTTACGAGCATACAATTAATGAATTAAACAAAAAAAACCTCGTGGTTACGTGGTGGCTGTAATCATAGCCTATCACTCGGTTCTCTTGGCGGTATCAGGTACTGTACTTGCCAGATTTTTAAGTGTAGGACGACCTCAGCGCCGCAATGGCGCAACATAACGCAACAAAGCCCAACGCAACGAAGCCCAACGCAACGAAGCCCAACGCAATGAGTTTAATTTATTATGCTTGATAATTATCGTTACCAATATACGGGTATTTTCCTCCAGCGAACCGTATGGTTATGATACTTGCTCGGCGTTGAGGTGTTTATATCAGGTGCAAGCACATACGGTTGCTACTCACCCTTCCTTGTATTTCCGTCCTACACTTAAAAATCTGGCAAGTAAGGCGTTGCGTGTTCTAATGACTGTAGCACAACCAAACTATTGGATGAGAAAAGAGGCGATCATGATATGAATAGGACTACTAGAGCTTCTAGCTTTCTACGGCATAACTGAGAACAGGTTGTCACGCCACCTATTCCTCAACACAAGTCACATGTACAGTTGTACAAATATACGGAGTATACGTAGATGACATGAGTCACCTATCCTGTGCGACAGTACCTTGCAAATTAAAATCGCTACCATCGTGCACATAGTTCGGGTTGCATGTCTCGAACCCGACCTAGCTTATCTTAATATTGAACTTGGTGTTCCTGGTTGGTCGTGAACGATTTATTAGAATTATGGTAAGCCTAATTGGGTTTAGTTTGAGCCAATAGTACGGGGTAGTCGAGCTAGCTAGCCCATTATCAAATATAAGCAATTATTAGCTTTTAACTACCAGAGAGCACTATATTAACGGTTTCTTATCGACGGCTTTAAGAAACCTTCCAACGGTCGTTTAGAGCGTCCCTTAGTGCATGTATAGCTCTTAATCAAAATTCATCGTACCGCAGCGAGAGCATATGCACCCGCGGGACAGGTGTCCCCAGATCAGCTTAACCTAAGTTTCAACTTTATATAATTAAACAATGATCTTTTACAATATATAGAGGTGGGAGTATGTATACGTAGGCGTTGAATGATCTACAGTAACCCAGCTTCTCACATAGCTTCCAATAATTGTTTTGTCATCTTATATACACTGCAGTCACCTTGATATCGATTTGTATCCGCTATGTATAATAAGAAAGTGCAGTTCTTATTGGTTTGCATGGCTGGGGTTTCGACGATGCAACGCAACGTCGTCGGAGCATCGCCACCAAATTAGACTTGACTATTTGCTGTGAAGCTCTTTGCTTAACAAATACTCACCGGGTCTGCGCATTACTATTATTGTGGGTTGTGGGAAATATTTTAACATGAAGCTGCGCTTATCGGTACGTTGTTGATACTTATCCGAGGCAAGGGTTTCACGTGCTAATCCTATCCTAGCCGCTCGAGGAACCGCCGAAACTGTGGCTATGACGCACTTTGAACAGGCTATTGAACGTGTTATCGGTGGCCTTGAGAAGAAGTCACTTGTCCTCAACCCGGAGGAGAAGAAGACAGTTGCTTATCACGAGGTATGACCTCTTGTGGAAATCAAACCCTTTATTTTTACACTGCATGACTCGCTGACTTGACTCAGGCTGGCCATGCACACCGCGACATCCGCCCGACCCCGCCATCAGTAAACCCCAATGCTGAGTAGTTGTGCACCCTGAACGTCACCATTATTTTCTTTAATCGGGGCCTCTTTTTGAATGGTCGCGGTGGAGATCGTTGCGTCGAAGCAAACTACCGTATACCGAGTTTGGTTGGACACAACAAATAAACTAACAAGTATTCCATCACCGAGGAAGATCACTGCAGCGCAGGGAGAGCAAATTATATACTTTATCCGTAGAACAGCAAGAATTGAGTGGCAATAACCGATAGCCACATTTATCACTATGACCGCCGGTGATGCGGGCTGAGTGGTACGCAAGAGCGGCCTGGTGGTCATCTGGCTAAATTGCAGTGATGCTACGGCACATATGCCCGATAGACTCGTTGAATACAAGTACGTACCCTAGATTAGCTACATGAGAAAAGTCATCTTCAGCATTATCCCTTACACAATCAGTCCGAGTCGGAATAACAAAATTAACCTTAACTGGTAATTATGCTCTGCTGAACCCTGGCATTGTTCATTCAATCGTAGACTTAGTACATCCCCTTAGCGTGTGACAATCAACCTAATGGCAGAATAAATGTTCACCGCGTTCAGCACAGCACAACTACCTTAAGCGGTTAATTTTGTCATTCCGATTCGGACTGACCGTGCGTGTAAGGGATAAACCATAACTACATGTACGCACTGTACTCTTTTAGGGACACGGCATAGTATGTTGACTTCATTGACACCCTCAGAACAGGCCACACCACGTCCTAGTGGTAAGAGTTACACCACAGCTTAATCCAGTCTATGATGTAACCTGATTTAGTTTTGTGAATTGCAGCGGCAAAGCCGAATGTGCGACGTTATTGTATTCACGTCTCGATCCTTGATGATGGGTGCGCATGCGACTAGAAGTGACATACAAGAATCTAACATAAAGTCTGCCTTTTCCGAACACATATATGTTTCCTGCCCGCCTTTCGGTTACGTTTGAATTCTACTATGTACTTGTAGCTGCTCCGCTTCCTTACCGCCTGTCCGCATTGATAATCTTACTAAAGGAAGTTCAACGGTATGTGCTCTGGTCACTTGACGAAGATTGCGTACCCACAAATATCCGTGGACCGTAGACTGGTCTATCCTGGAATATTCCGAGATGGACTGCAAGCCGAATCTTCGCAGTTTACAGCCCTCCCGCGAATGTCCGTGCATAGGCTGCCATATTACATGAAACAACATTGTGACCATTTTCGGTAGTGAAATAGATGAATCACCTAAGTACCTATCCACCTGTTTCCAATCAATTGGTCTTCAGAGGTCAGTACTTGATCTGGCGATGTTACAATCAGTGTCTAAACTGACTACGTACATGTACACGTTTAAGAGAAAACTTCCCATTGCTTAGCGGTATGCAATATTTGAGGTGAGCTGTCTAACACCCTGTCTAAGTACAAACACCCCAAAATACCAGTCTCCTCGCGGATATTCCTGGTAGGATGGTCAATTGAAGAAGATCCGCCATTCACGAATTGTCCATTTTTCCATCCTCAAATATTCGAGGATAGACTTGCCCCGAATATTGAGCGCATTCTCCACGCGCACGGTGTTCATATCATGTCTGGCTTCTCCCCCCTCTACATGCAGATTGCACCCTGTCCCGCCACCCGGCCTTGTTATCCTCGGGTGGATTGTTGGGCAGTCAATGAGCCTTTACTTTAGACCCTCGAAACACTGGTTTACTTTATGATCGAGCGTGCTTATGGAAAGTACTCAAGTGCAATTATCTCGACTACATACTTTGGATGGCTTTTCTGGGTGGGTGGACCGGGGGTCCTAACGGACGTTCACCTTGGGGCTTGGGGTCGGGCTCATCACACTTTGTGGGACCGGGTCTTCAACCGATCGTAATGTAAATACGTACTTGAGGTACAGAAACGTCACAGGCAGTTTTCTTCCTTGGTCGTTACGAGCTAGGACGAAATAATGTTGTGTGCGTTTCCTACACATAGCACTAAAATGGAGTTGGAGCTGGATAAGCGCTTAGTTACACTCCTCGCCAAAATCAACCTCTCTGTTTAAGCAATACTACATCAGTGGAAGAATGCTGTATATATATATTGAATATGGAATAAGTAGAGCTACTTCTCAGCTATCCAGAGAGCCAAAAATCTTTGCAATCAGGCAAATATTGGTTGAGCTATAAGAAATAGCCCAAGTGGCTCCAAAATAAGAGCCGGCTCTGCTAACATAACTGGGTCACAATGCCAAGTGCTTCTAAAATGGAGCTGACTCCAAAACGCAAAGGCACTAATAAGGGTGTTGTGTGTGCCGCAACAACGAGATTGGCCCAGAGCTAGAAACCCTAACCCGCATAGCTAGCAACGTCCACCCCACATGCCAGTTATCTCAAAGTTATTTAGACCCTTGAACTACCCAATAATTAATCCCTACACTCACTCACGGGGCGAAGGCGGATCCTGTCTGATGGCGGCCAGGGATTTGAGGCCAATAGCAGAGTTAAATTACTGTTAACACAACCCCCAGACAGGATCCGCCGTCACTAGGTGAGCGACTGTACCTACATACCTACCTTACCGTACCGGCAGCCACCCCCCTCCGGCCTCCTAGCAGTAGGAAAATCTACAGGCTGGGCGCAACAAAAGGTTCCATGGATTAAATTGAATGATCTAACTAGGGACGTACGTAGCAGGAGGTGGATGTGGGGGAGGAGGGGCCGAAGGTCCTCCATTGAAGCCTCATGCTCACCCCATACGTGTAGATCTATAGAGGGAGGGTTTGGTTTTCAAAGCACCCTGTGTAATTCGCGGTATATAGCACACAGCGACGCGGGGAGCCCTAGTATTACCGTACCTACCTCCTATGACGTAACTTCACAGCCGTGGGTCTCCATGCATGTCATGGAAGGCTTCTATTATCTGCTACGGTATTGGGAACAGCAACCAAGACTATTTCTGAGCGGCGTTCCTGGCTAACTACTGGATCAAACCCGGTCGGCGTCCTTGCATGGAGGTGCATGTACTTATTGAGTACCTCGGTCTTGCTATCCTCGCTTGTCAAAAACACACCAAAAATCGAGGTTTGCAACAACTCATAAAAAATCCCATAGTTATACAAAAACTGCAACAACCAAGTATAGTATAATTTCGATAAGGGAGATTTATGCTTCAAATTCTTGGCCTAATTGAGATATTGGTAAAGGTGGAGAGGAAAGCAAAAAAGGACTTTTAAGACACCCTTCGCCTCGTTCTTTATGAATATGGCCTAAAAGTGGCCTGTAGAGTCTTTCAGGTGTCTAGATAAAAGATGCGTAATTTCAGGGCAGATGGGAAAGCTCTCGAGATTCTGTGTGTTTTGCTGGTTGCGCAAATACATACTTGATATGCGAGTACATGACTAAAACAGCGTGGATCCTAGCTCAAAGGCAATTTTCTGCCGAACGCACACACCAAGAAGGAGAATGGAGTCTCTCACAATATGCAATGAGATTTGGTTGGATTAGAGAGTATTTACTAAGTGTCAAATATTAAATCCGACAATTTGCACTTTAAAAATGACGGTTGCGGGAGGCAAAATTGACAGTTCCCCTCATTGACCTAATTAACACACAAGAAAGGTATGATAGGAGAAACTTCGTAGATAAATAATTCTCCACGCTTACTGTAAAATACGCTATGTGAACTACACGCACAACTACCCACAGTATAGTAAACTGCATCCCCCCTTAGCAAATTGGTCAGAATTGACGGTTTCGGCAACTACTTTTTAATGTGGCGAAGTGTAAATTGTCGGTTCTGACACTTGGCAAATACTCTCTATTGACTAATTGACTAGCTTGACTGTTCATTACACCTGGAGATATTGGCCCCCTAGTAGACATGTACTGATTTTACGTGTTTCCCTGACCACTCAGCGAGACTCCTACCAGTGATTGACCAACGCATGGCCGCCGAATCTGCAGTCAAGGAATATGCGCATGTGAAGTCTTGCTCAGCGGGAATGGGAAAAAAGACTACTCTACATTTATGATACTCGCGATCGAGTCGCAAGACAGCACCAATTTGGGTCTGCTGCAACCATACCGGCCACTCAAAAAAACAAATGGATGTGCATAAGCGAGTGCGTGCTCATGTCTGGTTGATATGTAGCCTGAGCGTTAATATTTTGACCCTAGTATATACATACATGTATGTATGTAGGTACAGCCACTCTGCAAAAGTGTCCGTGATTCCGATTTCGGAGTGAGACATTTCTTCATATGTAACCGTGGCGGACCATCAAAACCCCCAATAGAAGACTTTCCTAGTGACCAATGGCGCCCGAAATCAATGTTGAAGGTGATTAATGACCTACTTTCTTTTATATACAGTCACGAACTATATTATCTATTTTTCGTTGTTTTGAATCTCAACATTAATAACGGATGCGCCACACTGCGCACTGACATTAAAACTAAATCACGGACACTTTTGCAGAGTGGCTGTACCTACGCAGTGGGAACAACCCTTTTGCACTTCTTGCCCCACCACACCTTTAATTGAAGATGGGGATATAGAGCCCCGCATAACACATCCTGGTCCGTCCGAGCCCAGACACAAAACATACCAATTTGTTCATGGATGAGCTACGGAAGTTTTTATGAGAGTAACCCCGAAGTTCGTTCCGAGACCAAAATCACACCCATATCGAGCCATCTAACTATTTATAGCTATTTCCTGAGCATTAGATTGATAAAATAAGGTACTTAGAGACATATCTATCTGTCCATGCAATACCAACTGTTTATCGGTGTTATTTCATTGTGGGCAAATGCCACGTTTTGGTGTGTTTTCACTGTCGGACGATGACTTTTGGACTGGAGTTATATATGCATAGATACATACCAATTTCACAGATATAGCACTCGAAGCGAGTTGAATGAAGGAGAAATACAAAGCAGCGAAAGGAAGAAAAGTCACAAAGAAGGTTTGCAGAAGTTCGGAAAGAGCGTTCTCATGTCATGATCCTGGTTATGCGCAGCGCGACTACTGGCACCTGGCCTAGGCACGAGCAGGCCTTGATTAAGGGAAAAAAGGAGAAACAAAAAAGGAATATCCAGGTTTGGGTTGGCAGAGGGCCACCATACCCCTCCTCTCAACAGCGGGTCCTTTCCGAAAAGTTGTATTACTTATCATTGACTCCCCGACCCGTTCGCTGACTACTGCAGTAATTCGTTTCAACAGACGCATACATAGATACAAAGTTGACTTTTGCATCGAGTATGAGGGAACTTGATTGCTTGGTTGATTGATCCTTACCGGTATATATGAGGGAAGGCTGTGGGGGTTTGCACGGGCTCGGGTTTCTGGGCCTTTTGGCGTGCTGGGTTTTCGCAATTTTGCACTTTAAATTTTGTCCGTTCCGGATTAGATTCGCCTTGTGTAACTCTTGAAACATGTGTATTCATCTCATAGTTGTTTGGCCTGATCATGGTTCGGCCTGGCGTTCCAGAGAGAGATGGAACGCCGCCAATCAATGCATCCCATTAACCAATTGTAAAAACATATAAACCCAGTGAAACCTAACACTGTGTTGGGCCGTCGTATACACGTGCACACATCGAATACAGCACTAGAGGAGCAGAATACTACCGCATCTCGCTTGGTTGTGTTCTTTCGACTCGCTCTCTTTTTTATTATTATAAACCCCCCCCCCCCCCGCACGCCGTACCGGTCATATTACGATACTTCGTACGAATTATTAGCTCAACTCCTCTCCTATCACACCTTCCATCCGCACCTTCACACCATATAGAAAGGAAACATATATAAACAAAATGGGTTCCCCTCATATACAAAAATCAACTATTCTTAGAAAGAGAATCACTGTAGGGCAAGGGGAGAGAAGGATTAGACAAGAGAGAAGGACTAGACAGGAACTTACAGATATTCTGTGTTGCTACAATAAGACGTGCGGCTTTAAAAGTACTTCAGAAAAGTCCATCCGGTACGTACCGCAATCTCCGTCCGTACCCCTCTTCCCGCGATGCAAAACTTCTAACACGATATAGTAATCATATAAAACGTGTCCATATCAAGCATCTACAGTGCGAGATCTGCGGGCAACGTTTCGGTGGAATTTGGGAATTGAACCGCCATATGAATCCAGGGACAAAACCAAAGAGCTGTGTGATAAAGCCATTCGTAAAGCTTACACAGGACGTGATAAGCCATGGGAAAAGGATAACCGGCTGCTCCAGCTTGGACGAGCTCTGTCGGGTGATGTTTTCCGGCCCTGAAAAGTTGTATGACACCCAGGATGGCACTGATAGTAAGTGGACAATCAAGTATTTGATTTGGATGAGGGGCGCCGCTACGACTATTTGAATATCGGAACTAACAATATTCGCAGATTTGTCCAGGGGAAACAACCCGACGAACGAATCAATCAATCAACATAACCAAACGAGCAATTCAGGTGGCCATGGGAGGAACCTTTATGAGCTGATGGCCGGCGAGGCTGATCCGCAGCCCGGACCGTTGAACGGACATCGGAATATAGCTATGGCGAGTCCCGAGGATGGTTGGAGGGCTATGGCGGGTGTCGAAGATGATTTTGTCGGGGGTAGTTTTTTCAATGACGAGTGGGTCCGGACTGTTCGTTATCCTTCGGGTTTTCCGTACCAGCCTCAGTGGCTGCTGGTCACACAAGACGTTGAAAACCCCCAACCCGACTATCTATTTGCTGCCTAGAGCTACCTCATACTGGTAGGCATAAGAGATTGAGAGGCTTACATGATAATTACGTAACTATGGGCCGGGTGCTACTCTAGAGTGTCATGCATCATGTACTTAGTTGTTAATGAAATTATGAACTTATGAAACACAGTTTGAATATAATCTATGTTGTATTTTTGTTCCCGGCCCTTGTGTCTGCTAAAAGCTTCCTTTCCCTCAATTCCCCGCAAAGTGTATTGAAAGGCTGATTTTTCCATCCGCATATCTTTAGCACCACTCTAGCTATATGTATAGAGACGTGCGATATCTAAGTATGGCGCGAGAAGTGATGGGGAGGAAGTCTGACAACCAAAAATTTAAAATCTGGCAAATATATAGCTAATGTGGCGATCTGTGGCTTCCGTGTGAGATTTCGTGTGGGGGCAGGTTTTGGCGGCCTTCCCCCCCATCACTTTATATACACACTTCTCTCCGGCTATATAGAGGGTAGGACGTCAGGTGGGGGTGCCGGTGTAAGGCGCTGGTTAGAAACATTGACAGCGAGTACGTATCTAGAGTAATAGAGTACTCGCGCGGCCGAGTTTCGACTTACTCACGTGACGCTATTTAACAGGTTTTTGCGTTGCTCATAGGTCATGTGATTAAGTCGAAACTCGGCCGCGCGAGTAGCTACCGCAAAAATTGGATATGCCTGCCCGGGCTTGATATATAATTGGGAGGCAGGTTAGTAGGGGACAGAATATGGAAATTTAGAGGCAACGATACTCTAGCAGGATATTGGAGCAGGATAATCTGGGCAGTATTACGTATACTACATGTAGTGATGAGTCGGAATCACTATGGCGACAAAGTATACAAGTGTTTCTGAGTACACATGTACAGAGAGCCCCAGAATATGATCTAAAAAGCGTGAAATTAAACATCTGCCACTTTGGCAATCTGAAGATCAAATGCACAGGAAGGCATAATGTACGTATACGCTCGACTGACTGAAACAAACATTCATAATTCCATCCCTACCAAACTTCCAGCGTCCGGAGGGAACGGAACCTGTGTTTTAATTTTGCTAACAGACACCTCTCTCTAAATTCGATCCGCGGGCCGGCCTACGATACCTACTTCCAGCAAAGACGTTCGGCCGCCGTATGGGTGGCATTATGTAGGTTTTGTTGTAGTACCAAATAAACAAAAGTTATGGCATAGGCCAACGGGACCAACCAGAGGCAGTCTTTGGACGTCAACGTACATACTTGGTATCCTGGATCACTTAGCGCAAAAGTTGGGGCGTTGCACCCCCCGGGTGTTAAAAAAACTGAGGGATTCACCACAGTTCGAGCAAAAATTGATACCAGGATCTCTAACACCCGGTAGGCCTTAGAATCGCCAAACTACAGAAACCCACAGAAACAAGAAACATTTCAAAAAGAAATTCTCAAAATTTGCCAATCAAAACGGTCAAAATACATTGCATACTCGGTATATCTACCATAATATATACCTAAGTCATGGGCGGTGATAGTATCGAGCCAGTGTAAACCCGCGGTCGTGATAACAGCGGCGATAACAGTGCTAGATTTAAGTAGTAGTTGCAGGTCGCGTCTTTCAGCGGTGATGGTATATAACGTAATAGTAATATTAAAGTTGTGGTAACGCAACCAGCAAGTAGCTCGGCTACTGCGGGTGGGGAAGTAAGTTCCACGGCAGATCTGGATCCCTTCCCGCCAGGGGCTTCCAGAAAATAAGTTTCCGTCGCCGTCTGCCCACATCGCATGTAAGTGAATGAGCAACCAATCGGATCCCTTCCTGGGCACGTTGATGAAGACTACCTAGACGCATTCACGGGGGTACGGTCAACACGGGGGTACGGTCAAAAATCAAGTTTGCGCGCGCGCGGTCAATGATGCAACCGCCCACAAAATGTACATAGCGTGATCGTGAAGAACAAAATATTGCTTAACCTCTACCATACCCGTGAACTGAACAATGGAGTCAGATTGGGCCGATTCAGATGCGGAAGAGTTCTTTGAAGCATCCTCTATTAGTTCACTGTCCTCACTTTCTGATAATGAAAGCGATTCAGATCCTGATGATCATGACGGATTGGAACCCCTTAGCGAGCGGATTGCTACAGCGAAAGCCGCATATTTCCATGAATTAGAGCAATACGAATGCGATCCAAATAGCAATAAGAAGCCAAGTATTTCAGGAATTGCTCGGAATCATGATCTTTCCAATACTACATTCCGGAATTATCTACATAATCCAAACCATAAAACCCGAAAAGAACAACATCAATCCATGCAGACTTTAACGAAGAAGGAAGAGGAGGCTTTAGCGGAAAGAGCTATGTTTATGGACGACTGGAATTGCGCCCCCGATCAAGATCTCTTAAAGAATCTAGCAGTATTGATGTTAAAAGAATACGGTGAACCTGAGGGTTCGGAGGTGGGGCTTGGTAAAAATTGGATATACAGATTTCTTCAACGAAACCCAACTCTTACCTTTATTTTTAATCAACCACTCGATCGATCACGAGCCAATGCCGAAGACTATGATGTGATTAGGAATCACTTTGAAAAGGTTTTAAAATTATTTTTTACTTTCTAAATATACAATTTCTAACAATACTTATTAGCTTAAACTCGTCAAGGACAAATACTCGGTTCAGAAAAAGAATATCTGGAATTTAGATGAGAAAGGATTCGTTCAAGGTAAAGGGAAAAAACGCAAGCGAATATGCCGACGCAGTCGAAATTTACATCATTTTAAACAGAATGGGACGAGGTCATTCTGTACGGTCGTTGAATCAGTCTCTTGTAAAGGTAGAAATTGTACTCCTTTAATTATTTTCAAAGGATCACAGCATACCGCCAGTTGGTATCGGACGAAAAAAGAGGTGGAGTATTTTTATGCGTTTCAGAAAAAGGGGTATATGAACTCAGTAATTTTACTGAAGTATTTCATCGAAATATTTGAGCCTGAAACTGCGGAAATGTACATCCCCTCAATAGAACTTGAACATATCATGACCCAAGCTAATATTTCTAATTAGTGCGGGTGGTGATTGGCGTATGCTGATTTACGATGGATTTGAGTCGCATCTTGATGCGGAAGTAGTCAATTATTGTTGGAATCATCATATTATACCTTATTGTCTGCCTTCGCACACCTCTCAAATATTACAGCCGCTAGATGTTGGCGTATTCTCTCCCCTTCAGCATTACTATTCAGAGGAGGTAAACAAGATTGGAGCACAAGCGATTACCAACGATGACTTTCCCAACCTCTTTGCCCGCGCCAGACAAAAAGCTCTTACACCTAAAAATATCAAAGCTGGTTTCCGCGCAGCAGGGATATCACCTTTCTGTCCCGGCATTGTCCTGAGTAAAATCAGACAGCGAGAGCATACACCTGGCCCTAGAACATTAGGTGCAAATCCGCAATCAAATCACTCAGAAATTCCGGTTTTCAGTACTCCTCAACGGCTTCAACAAGCTCATGATGAGGCATCATGGATTTGCCAAACTCCTGTCACCCCTAGAGGCATCATAAAGTTGGGAAAGGAGGCAGAACAAACGATAATATCTGCTAGTCCTCATAGCAGCAAGCAGCGGGCCCTTATGATTAAGCAATCTCATGTTGCGCGAAGACTATATGCGGAACTTCAAATGTCAAAGGCTGGGGAAAGACATTTGCGAGAAAACCAAAAGAGCGAAAAGGTCAAATCCGATAAGCGGAAATTGAACAGCGGTTCTGCATTAATTGTTACTAGAGAGAGTGTATTGAGAGCGGAAAAACTGGAAAGAGATCAAAAATCACAGGCTGAACCTCCTCAAAAAAGGATGCGATCCCAAACCCCTTGGGCCAACCCCATACTACCCGCTACCCCAATACTCTCACAGGATGTAGAAAGCCCCCTATATACACCATATGTACTTAGGTTTTGATTGTAGATAATTATTTGAATTTATTCAGCATTCGTGGTTGGTTGCTATGCGGTCATTGACCGTACCCCCGTGTTGACCGTACCCCCGTGAATGCGTCTACATGTATCCCTTATTAGACATTTTAAGCCACAAGAGAAAAAAAAGATCGACAAAAAAAAAGATCATCCTCTACTAGCCGGAGGTAGTAGGTATGATACTACATGTATGAACGCCGCCCACAGAGGCCAAGGTATGGTATCAGAAGTACAACCGTGAGAGCACAGCTATTAACAGCGTTTACCTGATCACACCAACCTCGTATGGCTATGTAGTAGAGAATTATCTTTTTTTTTCGCGGATCTTTTTTTTTCTTGCAACGGACGGTGGCTTAAAATGTCTATTAATAATACTGTTTAGAATATTAGATAGGCGTCTTGTCAATGATAGTCTGTAGCTGGCTGCAGCTGGTCATTATTGATCCGAAGCGAATTCATGAACTGTTCTGATCCCCCCCTTCTGATCGAATTAGATAGCAATATTCTCAAGAGAGTAACGTCTCATGCATCACTTTATATTAGAGTTCGCACGGCGATCCCCAGTCATCGGACTATCTTTGTTTTTTCTCGTTTCGGTCGCAAGTTCAGCTGCAGGTTTACCGATAGTTTAAAACTACGCCGGTACGGTCATGTTCGGAACAACTTACATAGTACATACATGCCGCGTCCATCCAGCCTTACCGATACCATGGGCACAGACAGAGAATATCACTCATCCTGATTATTTTCGATTGGCGAGGATCCATGTTATTTGCGTATGATAGGTTTACTTTCTCGTTAGCGGCTGCTAGGGGTTCGTCCTTTAATATCTAATAAGTATCCCTTGGGCGTGTGAGATCTCTCTCATGCATGAATATCATGTGACCTCGAAATTTGGGTGAGGAAACGTCAGGGTAAGCTATTTGCTGCGTTTTCCAGTACTTGTAGTACGCCCGTATGCCAAAAAACTTCGCAGGTCGCCGCCTTATTCCAGTCAACCACTTCCTGAATAGATGACGCTAATGCATGAGAGAGATTTCGCAAATGTCTCACGCGCCCAAGGGATAGTACATACACAATTATAACCTGCATATATATGCATGTGCTTTTAAAGGTTTCTGATTGGCTCATTGAGAGAGGTTTTGTTCCCTTGCAGCATGTTGTGTTGGATATGAGTATAGGGTATTGTGTTTAGTGGTTAGGTTATTAATATTAATAGGTTCTCTACCAGTTCTGGGAATCGATTAGTAGTCCGATTTTAGCGGCTTGGTGGCTGTTAAAGGGATATACTTGCAACTTGAACCGGAGAAATTGTCAGATATATCCACTGATATATGGGGGTATCGGAAAAGGCAGAGCAGATATAGTTATGGACAGCGCGGCCCTCGACCCCTTCTGGCAGGCAAATAGAGAAAATAAGCCGCAAATCGGCTTGCCTGTATATATTGGACTGATTGATATACATGCAGTACCGGCCGAAGGCCGGAACCCACTTCTAATCCGGTATGTAGATACATGTAGTATAAAGGAAGAGGGGCCGTCTACCGAGACTATTCTTCTGACTATCAAGCAGGGTGGGGTAGCGCGGCGCTTCGAAAGCAGGACGCCGAGCGGAACGTCAGGCAAAGCTCAATTGATCGACGTACCAATCCGTGTAAGTGCAAATCGTAGTATGTACCTACATGACAACCAGTCCACTCCCGATAGTTTGTCATATGTTCTGGTTTTTATTCCTGAACGCGAGTAATGGGCAATAGCCCTGTTCGGTCGCAATAAACTACAATCCATGGAACGGCAACACGACCGACCACAGGACCATATCTCCGGCCTTTAAAACCGAATTTCTTACCAAAATTGACCCTTCTTCAAGTTTATGGGAGGAAAAATGATTATTTGCTGGTCATTTTTCATGGTTTGACCGTCCCTATAACTTATATGATTTAATCGATTTATTACGAAAGACTAATCATGATTATGATTCAAAATATATGTCACCCCTAATCGAGTCTAGTCAAATCAAATACTCGACTTTTGTACTCGATTATAGTCAACTCATGCTCATGCCTCACACTAATTAAGCGTTTATACCCGCGAGCCCGAATACAAAACGTCCATTTCCTCCCAATACTAATATACACCAAGAAAGATAAAGTAATCAATTGGAAACTGTTTAATTTAGCGTCGCGACGTTGGCCTCAAGAAAATATTGAAGATCCATGTGTTTTCGGGTCGAAAATTAACAGTCAAGCCCCAACCAGTACAGACGATCAGCTTAGGAGTAGTGGAACTATGACTTAACTTGATCTAGAGCGATGCATGCATTCGACCTTCCCATATCTCCAATACATTCAACCATCAGGAGATCGAGTGAGATACCATGATGCATATTTTTAAGTAACAGATCGACAGCTAGCTAGCAGTACAAATGGCGGTGCGCTGCTTCAAATATTCGCCATATATTAGTCAAGAAAGAAAGTACATACACATCAACTGTAGGCGGATCCGGCCCCCTGGATCCGAATGTACTTATTTGCTCACTATTGCTCCCTCTACAGTATCTAATAAGTATATAGGTATAACCTGCATATGCATGTACTCTTATAAGCTTCTGATTGGCTCATTGAGAGAGGTTTTGTTTCACTTGAAACATGTTGTGTTGGATATTAACATAGGGTATTGTGCTGAGTGGTGTTAGATTGTTAATAGGTTTTCTACTGGTTTTGGGAATCGATTAGTAGTTCGATTTTAGCGGCTTGGTGGCTGTTAAAGGGATATATTTGTAGTTTTAAATGGAGAAGTTGTCTGACCTATTCGCTGATATATGGGGGATATCAGAAAAGGCACATATCGACCAGAGCAGATCTAGATATACTCTAGTGATGGACTTTGCCTGCCAGGAGGGTTCGAGTGCCGCGCAGCGGCCTGAGAGCCCCGACTGACAGGCAAATAGAGAAAATAAGCCGCAAAGCGGCTTGCCTGTATATTGGACTGATTGATAGACACATAGTACCGGCCGAAGGCCGGAAACTACTTGTATAGTATAATATCATTAGTGATATATAGACTAATTCATATGCACAGAACGTCAGTAGTGTAAATTTGATCTTTGATACATTGATATTGTAGCGAAAGTGTTCATGCTTCAAATCTCCCGATCCCGTTCGAAGACATTAATCATCTTACAGAAGTAGATTACATCTGGTGCAATAAATCTCCACCGTAACAAATCGGTCGGTTCTGTTTATTCCTATTCAAGAGGTATTACATGTACAAAAATAAACTGAAGACTCACATCTTACTTATTAAATAATTCTTCGTTATATGATTTCTCGTATAACGTACACTGTGTAATGAGACATAAGGATTATAAATGGGGTATGGATTCTCCATGCAATTAATTGATAGTCGTATAACATGACCAACCGGAACATCAGATAGTATCTAATTAATTCGAAATAAAAGCCTGCCCAATCAAAAACCGCGTGCCGGCACATACAGAGCCAGAAGGACACTTGAGTCATAAAATATATAGCACCATATATATTCTTTTCGAAAATTCGTCCCCATGCACAGAATCATAAGCAGTAACCCCACCGCCGCGGTTATGATCCAGAGTACAAGCGACATTGTCTATTCGAATAGAGAAGAAAAGCAAATTCTCAGCCTCAGAACAAAATATGAAGCTTCTAAAATTCTCATCACACGATCGATGACAATGTTACGATAATTTCTTTAGCCAAATTGTCCGAGACCCTTTATTTGAGGGTATAGCGATTATTAGAAATCCATTCGGATATGTACCAAAAGGTTGTTTCTAGATTAACTCTACAATTTAGTTGTTTATATAAGGTATGTACCCCCTGCATCGTAGATGCAGGTTGATTTGACTGACTCGAGTCAGTGAATTATAATTCACAGTATTTATGCACTATTGCTAACTACATTAACACAATACCTGAGAAGATCCCTATGAGTCTGAGAACAGGACACAGAAACCAAACCCTTCTGTATGCAATTGACTTGTAGGCGCAGCCAAATTCGTTATGTTTCATGAATTCAGTACTAATTACAGTATTTTGAGACTTGCCAGATTTCACTGACTCCAGTCAGGCAAAATCTACGATCCAGGGGATATATCTTCGGGATGCTCTGTTCCCGAGAAGTATGCACTCTAGTACGGTTCTTTCTCTATGTTCATCTCGTAGAAGCCCCGTCATTAGAGATGCCGGATTGCCAAGACTAGGAACCGGTTAGGCCCCTCCGACCGAACTTGGCGTCCAAATATCATTTCTAGCCAAGAACATTCATGGGCAGCTGCAGTTCTCGACGAACGAATGAAACCGTGATTACCTGAAGTGATGAACCATATGATTATGATGATAGAATCTTTCACGGGGGTATGGTCAACATGGGGGGTGTGGTCGATTCCAAGATTTTGAATAGAAACAAAAAGCGGTATTCGATCGGCTCCCTGCGTATCATATATCACTCAGGCGTATATTTGAGATTGACCATACCCCAGTGAAGGAGTCTAGATGATAATGCTAGACTAAGCTAATCAGGTTGCACGCTCCACAACGGCTCGTCAGGTTAGACACCAAGAGGCTATGCCTGTCTTTCTTTAGAAGGTCCAGGGTTCAACCCGAGGTACGGTGATCACGTGAAAGTACTTATAGAACTTCAAGATATAAATTCTGTACATCTTTCTTTATCAGCTAGCTACACAGACTAATTACCGGCAATTAACGAGGAAAGAAGTGACGACACACATAATAACGGGGAGATGGATAGCTGACTTTCTGACCACTGGAGCTTTTATGTACATCTGCCAAGCCGAACTTGAGATTTATATTAATATTGGATATTTTAAGTCTGTCCAACCAGTTAGTTTTTATCGTCAAATCTAAGTTTACGGGTAAGTACTTTGCTTCGAGTATTTGTGCTTCGGTTTGTATGTATGCAGTTTATACAGTGACGAGGTATTGTACCCACAATGTCAGGGAGACGTATTTTTTCTAGTATTCGGTAGATCAAAAAGAACAAAAAAAGCAGAGTTCTTCTCAAACACTTAGTGGGAGTGAGGAGGAAGAACGGATCCGGAGGAGAGACCCTATGTGACAATTCAGTTGCGGGGAATTGAACCCGGATGATCTATATCGATATCTAGTCGGTGAGAGCGAGTGATGCTAACCATTACAACACAATGGATTGATCAGGAATTGCATTATTTATTAAATACTCACTAAATCCAAAATCGTCCGGAGTCTAGAATACACATCTCGTTCCTAAGCCTGGCCGCGACGAGGGGTGCCAGTGGGTGATAGATTCATGTAATTATATGCTTTACACCCGTTCACATTGCGCTCTCATCAAGCTCCAAACAAAAATACTTGAGTTCTATACTAAAGAGGATAATATCACGGCGTCCTACCATGACCAATTAATCTTTATAGAGGATATAGAACTTAAGCGTCCTCGCTCGCCTTGTAGACCACCAATATATCGACAGACAGATTGATATCTACTAAGGAAACTATTAGCTTTCAATTGACCCGCCCAAATGACCCACCCGCCCCCTCCCATACAATTTCCGAGAAATTCTTCAGAGCCAGGGACGTCAGAACTGACCAGTAGCTCATTTGGTCCAATCTGGGGTATTAAGTACAAGTAGCTACATACGCTGTGACAAATATAAGTTCATTAGTACATCATACTTGTACTTATGTACTTCTCTATCTCGGATCGGCCTGCAATAAGCATGGCTATCCTAAGCCCTTTACTACCATACCCCACTAAATAATGTATGGTGTGTATCCCTTGGCCTGGTGAGATGCAGATTCGGGACCCTCCAAACTAGGCAGGTTTAGACTGTGGCCCAGGGCCTTTGCCTCCGTGGCGGCGAGCTCAGCCATATGATAGTCCCATGGCAAAGTCACTGGGCCACAGTCTAAACTTGCCTAGTTTGGAGGGTCCCGAATCTGCATGTCCCACCAGGCCAAGGGATAATATGATCCGGGCATTTATTACGAGGTCTAACGGATGCAGCAACAATTATATAGGCAGGGTGTCGATATATTTCCTTTGGCGGGGGCCGGAGCGAAAGCACTATATATAGCTCACCAACTTGGCAGGATAGGACAGTGTGATGTTAGTCAATTCGGGTAGGGGTATTACTGAGTTGTTTCTTCTTTGGATATTGGATTGTGGGAAGGGATGAAGCCTGGCCCGGATGTCGCTCTGATGAATTGAACACCAATCCTTTGTTGGGTAATATTCAGGCATCCCACAGGTAGCGGAATATTTGTATGCACACCAAAAGAAAAATGGATGCCTAAATCCTCATATTCCCGGATCCCACTGAGCCTCTTACCATCAACGCCTCTCCAGAACCAAGATGTCAGAATCAGTACAGTCCTTCTACAAAATCGCTTCCATCCCCGGTTCCGGCCTGGGCGTAGTGGCCACAAAGACATTCTCGCGCGGCGATCTAATAATATCGGAATTCCCACTATTCATTATAGACGGAGCTACAGTTGATGGCATCAGTGGCGCGGAGGCTACGATTGAGAAAGACGTAGCGCAGCTCTCTAGCAAAAATCAACAAGCTATTTCCTCACTTCATAACTGCTTCGTTGGAAAGCTTTCACCACTCTTGGGCATATTCAAGACGAACAGCCTTCCGCTGGGCACCGATAGTGTAGCGGCAGGATTATTTCTGGTGTGCTCAAGATTTAATCACAGTTGTGTTAGCCAGCCTCTAGCTCTGCACCTCCATGAAGATGTCAGTGTTAACAAACATTGCTTAAAGATCCCGAACGCAATGTACTCCTGGAACCCCACCATCTCTCAAGGATGCATTTATGCACTAGACGAGATCTCTCCCGAGGAGGAAATAACAATCAATTATCTCAGTCAAAATGATCGCAAATCCATTCGGGAAGACCGCCAACGAACCCTCCTCATGAACTTCGATTTTGAGTGCCTCTGTGCCGTCTGTGCGAACGATCTGCACGAGATTCGAGCCAGCGACCACCGCCGCCGCAATATCCGTTCTATGGAAGAGATTATCGAGTCCGATTTATACATACGGTCTAATCCAGAGAAGGCCCTAGGATTCTGCCAGAGGATACTTAATCTATGGGAGGAGGAGGGGGTGAATGATGTTACTCTCTATACGACGTATTATGAGGCCTTAAGGATTTGTGTCATTCATGGGGATTATCCAAGAGCTAAAGCTTTTGCAAAGCTGGCGTTAAGGGTTAAAGAGGAGTGCGAAGGGTCAGATGATATATCAGAGAGATTGGACCATATTAAGGCGTTAGTGAAGGATCCACAGAGTCATGCTTTAGCGGGAAGTTCGAATAAGTGGTTGTCGAAGGCGAAAAAAGGTGGCGATGTACAGTTTGGAAGTGAGGACTTTGAGGAGTGGTTGTGGTATCGAGCAGAATAATGCTTACAGTGGATTATATGCAATCTGAGCCTAGAAAACGGCCTGTAACGATTTTTTGTGTCAATGAGCTTTTTTCTTTTTCCAGAAACAGACTCTTTATGCACGGAAAAGATTAAGGATAAATTTTCAAAAACTACGATTGATAAATTGAATGATGACTATATTCCCACAGGAATCATTGCCTTCTCAACCGCGCTCTTCATTCCCACTGTATCATCTCCTTCATAGAATATCACTCGAGGCCCGAAGCATTATGAATATTTTCGCTCATACACACATACAAGTGTCAGTCGTGACGATAAGAAGGGATCATAAAGCTTATATGTATATTAGATAATGCCTGAATGCGAGCTATTGGAAAGTATCGCCGTGTTTTTCTCTCAAATGCTTGGTGGATGTCTAGCTCGTAACTAGAGTAAATATCCAACGGTTCCAATAGGTTTACTCGAATCGAAACCCGCGGTGTTCAGTGCGGCGCTCAGTTTGTTCTTGGTTACCTAGCATCGAGCTTATGATCTTGAGCCGATCAGTTCCTTTTGAAGGCAATCTCCTATCTCTTGCAATATAAAAGGTCAGGACGAAAATAATTCCGCAGTTAAATGACTGCTGAATAAAAGGAAAAGAAGGAAAAATACAAATACCCATTTCCCTACGTCCCAGTTTGCTGAAGTGATGCGGCTGGCAGCCTGCCGAAAAAAATGAATAGAGGTAGTGGGCCCTCACAAATTAAAGGAAGGAAGGCTGGAAGCTATTATACTAGCTTCCAACAAACAAACGCTCACGCCCAGCACAATCTTTGCGGGAAGGGGTGGTCATTTTTCAGCAAGAACAACTATATGTAAATGAAGGGAAGGAACGTAAACTTTGTTTTATAAATTCACAATCGAAGTATTGTACTTCGGCAGACCTCGGCTTGATCACAACCAATTCTTTTCACAACCAAATTTGTTCACAACCAAATTTTTATGTCAATGATCAATTTCATACTTATTGATAAGCTCCATCCATCATTGAATTTACGTTAGAGTACTCGAGCCATCCTTCAGTTGATATTTCTCAAGTGAGCAGGAGTCTAACGGCCAAAACTGCACACATTGCTCGGAGTCGGGTTCCTCTGATGATGGGCGGGGCGCGCCGGGTTCGATTGCATGCGTATTAGAGCAATCGAGTGGAAAAGGAGATGGAGCGGATTCGCTCACTTGGAATGTATATTCTGAGACTTATTCTGTTTCGTTGAACAGACCTTGCGTTCTGCTCGGGTAGTTAGGCGTGTAGCACAAGATTGCGGGGAAAGCGATGTACGTACAGGTCTTCCATCCGATTGATCATCTCGTCGCCTTCTCCAAGCTTACACCGTTCCGTCCCTGCATGCAGTCGAGTACTATGTGGGGAAGTGGGGTAAAACGCACAGTAATATTTCTACATTTGCTGCCACATATAGTTAGAGTATAAATCACGTGCAAAGCTCCTGCTACCATTTAGACCAGCTTAAATAGCTCATGAACTGCCACTGTTACCTCAGTCACAAGTTTCGGGGACTCACCTAGCATCATCCCCATCCTCTGCTTCATCTCCATCCATCTCCACCAAAGCTCCGAATCTCATCAATCGCTTGGCTCTAGAACGACGTGCGAGGTTTGGGAGCAATTGGTGAAGCTACAGGTGACCAAAGGAAATCTTTTAGCGCGATACTTGAACAATCTTCGACATGGACGGGTCCGTTACCACTTTCTTGAGCTCTGTTCTCTTATCCATCCCCTAACCCAGCTTTCCCCACCTTTTCAGCGATGGAATATGCTACCCCTGTAACATAATCTTGGCACTCGGAGCTCTTGCCTCACACAACTTCCCCTCCTTCCCTCTGGAATGATACCATGTGTTCCAAATATATGCCCACACCATCAATTTTCTGCAGTATACATAGCTAGCCTTCCCCCCTCATCCCCAGCCTGGCATCGTTTCACTAACACTCGCCTTTGGTGAAGCTGCGGTCATTCTCACCAACCGACGAATCCCCTTCAAAGCATCCTCTCTGTAGCATCAGCAGCAATGGGAGGTGGTCAGGTTTTACCAGAGTCTTCCGGCTATCCTAAACTTAACTTCGAGCCCAAAGGCCAGCAAATTCGTTCAATCTATCAGGACAGAATTAAGCAGTTCACCGCACATGGCCAGTATGAAAGCCAAAACCTCCGCTCTATGTGGAACTTTGATACCGAGAGCTCGGAAGATTATGTGAAGCTTGAGAGCTACTCGGTTCCCGATCTTGCGAGGCCTCTTTTTAAAGAAGCTATCAAAGGTTTTATTCCCTGCATCTGTAGCGCGTAATAAGAAGCTCACCAAAAGCAATCTTCAGCTACTTTCAAACCTACCTGTAAAGGAAAAAGCTTTGGCCCATCTTGGTCCACACATTGGTTCAAGATCAAGATCAAGATTCCCTCCAGACTCTACAAATACGATCGTCTTGAGTTTCACTGGGATTCCAATTGTGAGGGATTACTCTATACCGAAGACGGAGAGCCCGTCCAAGGTCTCACCGGAGGTGGTGAACGTGTTTCTTGGTTACTTCCCGAATCCTGGAGAGACGAGAAGGAACACCTATTTTATGTCGAGATTGGGTGCAATGGAATGTTTGGAAACCCGATGGGAGGAGATACGATTCAGCCGCCTGACATGAACCGCTAGTATGATTTCCGAGGCTATCCTAACAGTGTAAAATTCTTGCTAATCATGCGGCCCCGCAGCTTCCAACTGACAAAAGCCGATATTGTAGCGCCTAACGTAGAGGCTCAGGCACTTTATATTGATTACTGGATCCTTGGGGACGCAAGCCGTGAATTTTCTGGGGAATCTTGGGTTGGCTTGCCGGTTTCTCTTAGATTTAAGTATAACTAATATATCTTGTAGGAATCACATACGGCAACTCAAATTGCGAACGAAATCGTGAATACATTCGTTCCGGGCTCTCAATACTCTATCACAAAGTGTCGTAAGATTGCTGCACGATATATCGGAGACAAGGTCGATTCGGCGAAGGTTTACGATACCGACACCGATCCGTTGGTCTTTGCTACAGGGCATTGCCATATCGATACTTGCTGGCTCTGGCCGTTTGATGAAACGAAACGTACGGATTAATCTCCGATTATCATATTAACGCTAACGTGATGGGGGAGACAGGTAAGGTAGCCCGTTCGTGGGCTTCACAATGCAACTTGATGGACGAGTATCCCGAGCACCGCTTCACATGTTCCTCGGCTCAGCAGTATAAATGGCTTGAGATGTACTATCCAAAGCTTTTTGCCAGGGTTCGCGACAACGTCAAAAAGGGCAAATTTCAATACATTGGTGGAAGCTGGGTAGAGCATGATACGAATTTGCCCGGGGGAGAGAGCTTGGTAAGACAGTTCATCCTGGGGCAACGCTATTTCCAAAGCAGATTTGGGGAGAGGTGCACCACCTTTTGGCTACCTGGTAAGGAGGACCTCCGCATAGTGTGCATACGGGGGCTTATCAGAGATCAGATACCTTCGGTTATAGTTCACAGCTACCTCAACTATGTAGACTGGCGGGAATGACAAGATTCATGACCCAGAAATTGTCGTGGAACAATATCAACAAGTTTCCGCACACAACATTTAACTGGATCGCCCTCGATGGATCTCAAGTCTTATGCCATATGCCTCCAAGTGAAACGTAAGAATATTCCTTCAGTTCAAATCAAGTAGCGTTGACATTAGGTCATAGATACACTGCACAAGCACATTTCGGGGATGTCAAACGTTCTATTACACAGCACAAATCCATGGACAATGATGCAACATCACTTCTTGTCTTTGGTCATGGTGACGGTGGTGGTGGCCCCACAGCCGAGCATATAGAGAAGCTCCGCCGTTGTCGTGGAATCAGCGACACAGTTGGCTTGCTGCCCCGCGTAAAGATGGGTGACTCTGTCGATGATTTCTTCTCCCGTCTGGAGAAGAAGGGTTCTAAGAACTTTGCTACCTGGTACGGGGAGCTCTATTTCGAACTTCACAGAGGAACCTATACGACTCAAAGTAACAATAAAAAGAACAACAGACGTTCGGAGATCTTAATGAGGAGTTTGGAGATGCTAGCTACTTATGCAAGCTTAAAGTCAGGGGATTACAAGTATCCCAAGAAGCATATCGACGACCTATGGGAGATCATCTGCCTGTAAGCCTTTTCACTAGATATTCGGGTGGTATTTCGCTAACAAACTTTTAGGTGTCAATTCCATGACTGTCTACCAGGATCTTGCATCGAGATGTGCTATCGGGATTCTGACAAGGTACCCACCCTTTCCAGGTCTTGACTTTCTGCACTTCTAACATTTTAAAAGCTCTATGCCGAAGTTTTTGAGAGGGGGCACAAGCTTCTTGAAGAGGCGGCAGAAGTATTAGGAGTCAAGAGTGCGGGAGGGCCCGACACTGAGCTCGTTGGAATCAATACTCTGCAATGGCCTCGGACAGAGCTTGTGAAGTTACCTAAGGAAGCCCTGAAATATGCTAGTCAGGCATGTGCTGATGGGACCGAGGGTGGTTATGCCTTCTTGGCTTCGACCGACTCAAGCTTGGCTACTATTCAAAATATCGATGCTGCTTCTCCTAAGGTTTCAGGTAAGGGCTTCAGATTGACATATATTGTGATTTGGAGTGAATATTAAGTGTACACGTGTCTAGTTGCCGAAATCTCCAAGGATGTGTTCGTGCTTGAGAATGATTGTCTCAAGGTGAAAATTGAAGGGGGTGCCATCACGAGTCTGATCGACCGTGCCAGTGGACGTGAAATCGTCGCCGAAGGCAAGAAAGCTAACCAACTTGTTATCATGGATGATAAACCACTTTACTGGCAAGCGTGGGATGTAAGAAATCGACTATACATACCCGGACCTGAATCTGCGCTTACATGTTGTAGGTCGAAGTTTTTCACCTCGAGACACGCAAAGAACTCCCCCCCGGCCACGTTAAAGTCCTTGAGACCGGACCGTTGAAGGCGAGTGTTCTCGTCGAGACGAAGATCAGTAAAGACAGCTGGATTAAAACAACGATAAGTCTTCAAGCTGCTGTCGGCGGAGCAGGAACTTACGTTGAGTTTGACAATGAAATTGAGTGGCAAGAGGATAAGAAGTTCCTGAAGGTCGAATTTCCAGTTGATGTACACAATACCGAGGTAAGCTATAAACCTCCAATTTACCCCGCTGCAAAACATGCTAAGGTTTACAGGCTTCATATGAAACTCAATACGGAATTGTGAGACGGCCAACACATTACAACACAACGTGGGATATGGCAAAGTTCGAAGTTTGCTGCCACAAGTGGGCCGATTTATCTGAACATGGCTTTGGTGTTTCGATTCTTAACGACTGCAAGTATGTAATCCCAAGTGTGACCAAACATGAGAATCAGGCTGACAAACGCATCAGATACGGCTTTGCAACCGTCGGTAATGTGATGAGATTGAGCTTAATCAGGTAAGTGGCCCGAACTCGTCTGCGGGAGCCGCCCTAACATTGAACAGAGCACCCAAGGCACCAGATGCACACGCCGACATGGGCCGCCACACATTCCGCTACGCTATTCTCCCCCATCAGGGTATAGTTGGTGAGACAACGGTTCGTACAGCAGCCGAATTCAATAACCCCATATGCCCAGGTCATATGGCTTCCTCCCATGCTGTAGCCGCACAGAAGTCGCTAGGTACCCTGAGCCTATCCGGCTCACCAGCTATCATACTAGACCATATTAAGCGCGGCGAGGATGATGAAGACATTTCCACTGGTGGTTTGCCAACCAGGAAGGGAAAGAGTGCCATTCTCCGATTCTATGATAGCTTGGGCGGAAGAGCCAGCACTTGTATTACTACGTATGCGCAACCTCATCTTACAATTGTTTGCACTGTACTAATCTTCCACAAACCCTTAGTGAATTGCCGGTAAAATGCGCATATAAGACAAACCTTCTTGAAGACGACCTGGAGGAGGTAGAGGTCGAGCATAAAGAGGAAGGCGGTAAAGGGGTGTCGAGTATCAAGATTTCTCTGAGACCTTTTGAAGTTGCAACTTATCGTCTACAATTTTAAGCAAGAGAGAAAGTTTGCTCGGTTTGATTACAAGTTATTTCCCATGGCTTGAAGGTCACATGTCATGTTTGTACTGAGTATGTATAAGTTACATATATATCTTGCTTGGCCAACGGAAGGTTATGAATCGAAATGAGCCTTATTGCATGATTTAGCTCACACGAAGCCCCATTGCCGCATGTTCCCAAGAATATGCCTCTTCATCATCTGCCGTTTCACAAGCAGAAGCCTTGGCTGTGTGTACAAAATCACTCGAATTACACAGATTATTGTCCCACTCGTATGGGTAAGTGTGTGTGTGTGTCCTAAAAGCCACGGGCCATAATCACATGCCAGGTACCAAGTATTCAAATAGGTACTCTGGGTACATATACGTACCTGCACTTCTGCCATACCAATCACCCCCCCCCCCCCCAAAGCCTCACAAGTCAACCCACCATCACCCCTCCCAAAGCCCAAGTCACCAACCCATGCCCACCCATCTACCTACACATCCATCCACCCATCCACCCACCCCGTAGAAACCCCTCACCTCAAAAAGCAAAACAATCCCCTTTGCTTTTGCCCTCGATTTTCTGCCCTCATGCACAGCAGCGGAAAGCTTAATGGCGCAACAAGCACCACCCCATCTCAGACGTGTAGATAGCGTGGCCGACATCTCTCTTATCGGGACGGACGTGACAGGGTTAGGGTTGTGTTCGACTCATGAGACAGGTGGTTGGAATAAACATTGTGGGGGTAGACAGGGGTTTGAGTGGATGGGGGAGCGAGAAACATTTTTGTCGAGTGTGCTTGTAGCGTTGCAGGAGTTCAATTGGGGATGGGGTTGAAACTGTACGGGGGTGTAGTGTCGGAGCAGGTAAGATATCCGAAGGGGGAGGTGAGAGAGGGTACTTGCGGAGAGGGGGTGATCATTGGGTAACTGGGTAAGCCTTGGGGAAGATTTTTGGTATGGCGAACATTGTTGGTGGGATGTTGGGTTTGGTTGGGTGATTGGTATTCCTTTACTCTGGCCTGATCAGGATCATGGTTAACTATATGGGGCGCGGGAGTGGCTATGATTACTTGTAGATCTAGGGTAGATAGATAATCGATTATGATCATGATCATGGCTATGAATGTAGATAGATGGATAATCGATTATCATCTTGCTTACTCTACATTTTCAGATGTAGATCCTTCTAGATCATTGATATCGATAACCACAAATCTTGTCACTGAGGCAGGATCAGTTACATTCCCTGATATACCATCACCCGCCCCATAACCCCTTGTCGACTTACATCATAGCTTACGCCCAGCCTCACCGTTCATGCATTTCAATCATTTCCCATCATCACCATCCCGCATACCACCTACTCCAACCCCGGAAGAAATGGTTATTCTCCGCCCCCTATAAAAAACAGGGCCTCAGTAAGATGTTGGAGTATATTACAGAATCGAATTCGGCGGAAACAATGACGAAACAATCACCCCACAGCATCACAAATGCGCCTGGCACCGGGGGCAGCGCGCGGGGTAAAAAGGAAACATGTCTGTTTGCGGCCCATGGCCAGTGGGAATCTCGGGCAGCGATTATTGATGTCAAGAACAGGACTGCAGAACAGACGGGTTGTGAGGAATTCGTAGACTATATGGACTGTTAGTTCTGCACATATGTAATGTACATGCGTGCGAGGAGCAGGGGTGCGGTTCCTTTCTCCTGGATCTAACGGGGATGTCCACTGGTTGGTGCCCTGCCCGGTTTGAATTTTGGTCAATATCAACTCAATGTCAGTGTTTTCAGATGCAGGAACCACACCCACAACGACTATCAACAATTCTAGAAACATCTAAACCCGCCAAATCTAGACAGAAAACAAGAATACTCCCTCTTCTCCCCCTGGGAGCTATTCCGGTTTGCCTCGAGTGAGACCACATGTCGGGCCACAGAACGGTGGGTTTAAAAATACATCCCTCTGCATTGGGTATTTGTTTCATGTCTGTATGTGCTGGGATACATGATGTAGAGTACATCATGATGGACGATAGACGAACTCTTTGTGCAGATCGATCCAGTCCGGCTTGGGGGTGGAGGTCAATGCTCACTTTTGTACTTAAAATCCCAACATCCCAATAAACCTAACCCTAACCCAGACCCTACCAAGCCGTAAGTTGTTACTATTGTAGATCATCCACCACCACAATCACCTCCTCCAGGCAGTGTGAATTCCACCATCTTCGTTTCACACTTACACACCCACCCCCCACTTTTGTACCATCCATCCGGCAGTTCGAACCCGCACCCAAAGAAAGAAAGAGAAGTACCGCCTTTCCTGCCACTCCCGAGCTATCGAGTATCAGCCTCACCGCATCCACCGGTGGTGGAACACGTAGTTGCTGCCCTGCCTGGGAGAGGCTTGGCTACCCTTCATTTTTTTTTTTTTTTTGCTCTTTCCTTCCTTTTTCATTACTTGTGTTCTACATAGATCGGGGACTAGCTAGGGGAGAGGGAAGGAGCAGAGTATCAAGTAGTCTTGGAAGGGAAAGTGAAGGGGGAAGGGGGTGTCTTTAGTTCTGGCTGGTATGTATGTAGTGAAGATTCTGCCTTCACCAGCTAGCTAGCTGGCTGCTCTAGAGTAGGTATTTGAGTAAACCTGTGACATGACGCGCACCCCTAACTTGTAGGGGTGAAGATGGTGGTGATGATGATGGTGGTGGCGGTGGTGGCGGTGGTGGTGGTGGTGGTGGTGGTGCGTGCGGAGAGCTTAATTCCCATTCACCATTCCATCGGTGAAAACCCCTGCCCACTACTCTGCTCTAGCTCTGTAGCTAGAGAAGGTACATGCTCTAGTTCGGCAGGACGGAGATGTCGATGTGGTTTTCGAAGGGAAGAAGAACTGCAGAGTAAGCAGCGGATGGACTGCATCCCGGGAGGCTGCCGATAGCAGATACTCTACATAGAATAGGTGCTCTACCTACATACATACTGCACTGCCGTGAATTTTCTTGTGGGAAGTGAAGTGGTCGTGACCCGTGTCACCAATAGACAGAGCGACCAATAGGAAGGCGAGGAGCGATAGGGCGCGCCAAGAGGTGGACGTAAATAGTTAGCGGGGTAGAGTTTGTTTGTAGGTTTGGAGGGATTGAGTTGGAAGTCAGAGGACTGATATCGATGGAGAGGGAAAACCAGGCCTTCTTGATACGCGTAGTACTGCCTGTGATGGTTTGGGGGAACTCTATTTGGGGGTTTGAGGAGGCGAGCTATGGTATGCAATGGTACTATTTGATGATGGGTAGGGTGATCATGAGTAGTGTACTGTAGATCAGCAACTGACTCTGGTTCTCAGCTTAATTTCTCTTCTCGCCTCCAGCCGAAATATCTCTATCCCATTAAGCAGCGGACGCTCGCTCTTCTCTTGAGGTATATGGGGCCGCTATTTAATGGACGGATATGGTGGTGGTTATTGTGTGTATTTACTTTTCTGGCTATCTGTCTACTTATCTGTTTGTCTCGATTGATCCCGATATGGCATGACCTGGGGCCGGGGGTAGCGCCTGAAACATGTTCAAGAAGCTTAACCAATCTTCAACGACATGCGATCCCTAAGCGACGTTTCGTTTGCAATCACGACCTGGTTTGCGTTGACAAAAGCGCTCGTTGTCAGCATGTATGGAGGGACGTGTGGATGCATTGGGAGGTGGACGCTGTCCAGGACGCAGGCGTGGGCGTGAAGGTTTCGCCGATTGATGTCCGCGATAGGTGGGATCGGAATTCTGGGTGCTGTAGGTGTAGACCTGGCTACATAATGTCGCATCATCTCTTTCGCTCTTTCCCGGAATAGCTTTGAGCCCCATTGACCACCCTAGCTAGAGACTCCGAGAGTAGAGCACAATAACTGAGGACTAGAGCAGAGAAGGATAGGGTGATTGTTTAGCAGCACCGTTCTTTCTGGAGGTATGTACCTACTCAGCTCCGTTCCCCATTGTTCAATGGCCTGGCAAGGGCATTGTAATCGCTGTCGTTGTTGTTGGTGGGGCGGAGGAGAGAACCAAATTAAAGGTGAAAGACTGACTTTGTTACATACAGCACACACCTGCAGCCTCCTCGTTCCTCCCTTCCTTCTCCTTCTCCTCCTCCGTCCAGCGGTCAGTTTCACTCACACGGATGGGAGACGTACTTCTTGAATGAACCACATGGAGATTTTTTTTTTTTTTCCCATGTGCGCGCGCACGAAAATTAATTACTGTAGTTGAGGTCTAGAGGTGGTAATTAGTTGATTGTAATTGGTCGGTTGCAATTGGTTGGTTGCACCCAGCTGGGAAGGAATACTCAGAGTGGTAGTAGCGGTAGGGATGTAAGTTACTAGAGTAGTAGGGTAGTAGATCAGTAGAGAAGGGCAGACTGCCTAGAGTGCAGTCCCTAGAGTAGTCCTTTCCCTACTCTACTCTAGTCAGGGCAGGAGCACAGGCAGCTGTCAAACCAACCCAACCAACTGGGCCAATCAGAGTAGACTGTTACCGATGTAGGCAAGCGGTACATACTCTATCTACTCTGCCATAGAGGAGAGTAGACAGATGAGTTACGATATGCCGTGCTGGCAGGCCATGTACTCGTGTAGGCAGAGTATGTCCACCCTACAACCTCACCTCCACCACCACCACCACCACCACCACCACCAACCACCCCCCCCCCCCCCCCCAAAACCCCCTTCCCTTCTGATGCTACAATCGGTCCTGGCCTTTGCTTTTTTTCTGCCCTTTTTTGCGCAGTACCAGTTGGGGTGACGTGTGTCCAATCCGGATATGGTGCTGAAGTTTGTGGTTTTATATAAGCACTGGACGCCCTCCATCCTCCCCCTCCTTCTGCTCTCACTCCCCTCCACCCATTATTGGAATTATTACTTATATCGAATTGTTATACCTGTGACCTAAATTTTTACATAATTCTTACCTACCTACCAGCCTACATATATCTCACCTACATCATCCCCATTTCACTTCTACTGCTAGATATTCTCTGCAGCAAACATACATCATCACTCAATACCCAATATAAAATCTAGACGCTAGTTAGAATGCGCAGTTCAACATCCTCATCATCATCATATTACAAACCCCACGACTTTTACACATTCAACAGCATTCGATCCTCATCCACACCTTCTTTGCGCCCCAGCTTACGGCGTCGAAAACCCTACAGTGCGCCCCCACACCCCCGGCGCGACTCCTTCGCAAGCAAGCGCTCCTACACCACTCACACCCTCTCCTCCTCTGGTACATCTACCCGCTCTAAAACGTCCTCCCTCCGCTCCCTCTTCTCCTCCTCCTCCTGCTCCACAACCAGTTCCTCCCGCCGCAAGAAGATCATCTCAAAGATGAAGCAACCCTTCGAGACTTCAAAGGCCCACAAGTGGCGTGGAACAATGACACTGCAGCGACACAAGAAACCATCTACGCTGGATTTTCGGTGCATTGGCGAGGAGGAGGGCTCCGGCTGGATGATGGAGACACTCTCAGAGTTTGCGACCACCCCCGTGGAGAGCGTTTACGGGGAGACGTACGCTGTGAGTTTTGACGGTATGCGCAGCCCAAGTCTTCCCCGGTTTGGTTGTGTGGGGTGTGTACTGATGGGGTGTGCATGAGTAGAGGCGCCAAAGATTCGATGGGAGCAGCCGAGGATTCATGATGATTGGGATAATTGGTTTGCGGGTATCTGCTAGATACTCGACAATTCTGCAAACCTTCACGACTTCTACCGGAACGATTTTTTTTTATTGTTTATTGTTATTCTATGTTTTTTTTTTTTTTTTTGCTTTGTGGACTGGAGTTACACATACGTACGCACCGGCATGACAGTCAGGATCTCGTTTGTTCGAACTGGTTAGGATACGTTACACGATTAGTTTTTTTATTTACTTTTCTTCTGGCATGCATTATCTTTTTCCAGTTCTTGGTTTTCCGTTTTTTATTTTACGCAACCGGGGGCTAGCGGCGTTTATTGTTTTTTATTTTTATTTTACTCTGCACACGGGTTAATGATTGTTCTTTTTTTTTTTTATTGCTTTACGAGTATGAAAGATCGATAGTAGTGGTAATTGCATTTTTTTCTTGTTTTTGTTTCTTTCTCTCTTTTCTCTTTGTATTACTACTTGAAGGGCAGGGTCTGCTTTGTATTATTATTTTTTCCGCGTCTGTTTTTTCTTTCTCTCTCTCGGGGTCTCTGGCGAAATTGATGATCGAGATGGCCTGTTATGATATCTTAATACGTTATGTTATAACTACGCCTCCACGCCTCCACGATCCTGAAATTCCTTTATTTCCCACTGCCCTTACTAGTACTGTACCTTGCTACCGGCCACTAGTACAAATGTGCCCATCCACAATACATCAAATTCGCGGGGTACCCAGCCCGCTAATATCGATAGTAAGACGTAGTATCTCCATCTCCCATGGAGATGTCAACACCGGTAACGACCGCTGTACAACTTACGCAAAGGAAAAAATAAAAAAGGGGGGGGGGGGGGGGGGGGGGGGGGGTGGATGTCAGGTCATGACAGGCCGGGCAGGTAAGGCTTTTTCTTTTCCGGTTATGTATAGTAACTCAAATCTCCTTTTGCTGCTTGTTGCTTTTGAGAGCCGGCAGGTAGGGCTAGTCTTTGAGTACATACTCTACTTACTCCAGGTACTTTGATCAATTGAGGACCTGGGCTGTAATCATGTACTACATGATCGGCGCAGAGGGGTGGGAATGGGGGGCTAGAGCGGTATTATTACTGTGTCTACCGTTATAATTATGTATCCACCATATAGGCTAGGGGGGATTCCACAGTATGTACTATCAATAGATCTCGAAAATCTACTCTAGAGTGTGCACTGTGTGCCTACTCTAGCGTTAGCATTAAGCACTAGGAATATTGGCAGGCTTTACAGTAGTCATAAATTCTCCGCTCTCCCCGCAATTGCGCTCATTCAACCATGACTAAACTAGAGCAAAGGCGCGCGTGAGAGCAGCATCCCGCATCATCGGGATTCTTGCCCTTGAAATCCGGGCTGCGTTGCGCCATGCAGGTCTTAATGGCCGAGATTTACATACCGTTACACAGGCCGCCGCCCAAGTAGGTAATAGTAGTGGTGGTGGAGGAGTACCCATATTATCGAATGAGAAGCTTCAAGAAATGGGGAGTAGGCCTTGATAGAGGAATTTAGGAGGAGTAGGATGGGGGGAGGAGATGGGTGGCTGCATGCATAGCACGCGGGAAACGTATCCTCATGGCATCAACACAGGCTAGGGAATTAAATGTGGTATGCGCTATCATTTCACCTGCCCTACGGCCCTACCTACTACCTAGTGTAGCTATGGAACCACAACCTTCACTCCACACTCCCCTCCCCCCCCTCCATCCCTCTGTACTCACGCACACACGCCCGTGCTTCCTGGTTCAAGGACAAAGTCTAATACCACAACAGAGGATTTACACTTTTTCCACCCCCCCCCCCCCCCTTTCTGCAGCTGGCTGCTGTGCTTGGTCCGGCGCCGGCCCTGTGCATGCCACGGAAAGGGTAAAAAAAAAAAAGTGAGAGTGAAAAAAAATGTTTCAGACGATTATGTTTTTTTTGCCCTCCTTTTTTTTTACAATATTTATGTTGAATGTATGTATGTGTGTATGTATGTACTCGAGAGCTACATAGGAAAGAATGAATGTAGGAAAGGAAGCACTCGCCTGAGGACGCGTGTGGCTACCCGTGCGGTGAGAGAGGTTTTTCACGATTGCTGATCGCTCGGACAGTGGTGTTTGGTTTATGAGTGTTATATCTCCCTTAAATCCTTCTTTCTTTTTGTTCTGCAGGGCGTGGGGAGGCCGGAGGAAGATGAGGGGAAGAGAGGGGGAGGGGGAGGGGGAGGGGGAATGATCAGTACATAATTGTGTGTATATACATGTACGTACTTGGGGTAACCTGGGTAGGTAGAGTATGTCATGTATACGTATGTATACATAGTAGGACTCGCAATTTCACCGTACTGAACGCCATGCCATGCAGAGAGACGTAGGGCTACATCTTCCCTCTTCTCCCTCCCCTCTGTGATTTTGTCCCTGAGACACCACCTATCAACACGCTGCCAATTGCTCGCAAGAGGAAGGAAAGGAAAAACATCAGCCGATGTTGAAACGCTATTTCCGAGAGACCACAGCCAACTCTACTGTTGTGTACGTGGAAAAGATTTTTTTTTCTTTCTTTCCTTCTATCCCCTCTTCTTTTCAGAATTTCAATTGAATCATACGATTAGATTGCAACCCTTTTTCTTTCTTTTCTTTTCTTGTTGCTTGTTGCTCAACGCACGTTAGTTAGTTGGTTTTTTTTGGGGGGGGGAGTCCGGAGGTATGTAGCGGTTTTTTTCCTTTCTTTTTGCTATGTAGCTAGTTTAGCAGTTTAGCGATCAATGATCGGTTGATCACTTTTAATTACTTTTTCCTCGAGCTCCTGTTCTTGGCCTCCCTCCCACTCAAGCCTCCGATTGCGACCAAAACTTCCAGCGTTATAATAATATATCCATACTATATGTCCTATGCATCTCCTACTCGGTTAACCATCTCCGCCCATCGCATCCAGGACCAGCATCTCTGCAATTAATGGGACAACTAATTATAAGTATACCTCCTCGATCACATCTGATCATTCGGATGACAGCCCGAGCGAGCCAGACCACCATCTCAACACTCCCACTCCATGCACCACGGGAAGGAAGGAAACGAGCAGCTCACCCGGGCCGGAACAGGCCCGATCTCAGGACGTTGGTTGGTTTGGTCGCGCGCGGGCCGACATACTTATGCACAGCACTATATTTTTTCGCAGACAGCCTTCCCCTTCCCCAGGGAGATGGATGGAATAGGAATCTGTGATCCGGGGATGGAGTGATTAATTTGGTACATACACACACACCACACATATATGGGGACTGTACTGTGGACGGCGAATACAATTGATTGATTGCCTTACAACCGGGGATTGTTTGGTGTATGTATGTATAGCGGACGCCAGATATTGATTGTATGTTAGGTTGGTATATACGTTGGTGGAGGAGATGATCCCATGGTGTTTGTATATTGGTTTGGGGTGGGGGTGAGTGATTGTGCGTACCTGCCTGCTGAAGGAAGGATCTCGGGCAATCGGTTTCCTTTAATTGTCGCCGAAACGCCCTCTTCACGTGCACGTGTCGATGCCAATTCAGGACCTCCTCCTTCAATATTCAGCAATCTACTATACATTATAAGTAAATATATCAGTTAACGCACTAGTAAGCTCTCGATCTCGGCCTTTCGAAAACAACTGATATAAACAGAGTCATTTACTTCTGATTGGAAGATGGCTCCTCCGGAATTTTCTTTATTTAGTAACACTTTCTCGGTGGTACATGTTAGCATCACGAGATTCTTTCAAAAAGTGTGTCCCTACGTAAGTCCCGTGCCCAGCACAGTCCACACGTGCCCTTTTCCTCCCAGTGTGTTCATAATCCAACAATTGTACAAAGTCTCGATATTGTCATGTGATCAAGGAACTCCTCGAGCTTCGAAATCGCAGATTTTAGTTTTGTGAGCTTCACGAGCCAACTTTATTCCGAAACCGTATCTCGTGGCGTTGTATCCGGTTTATGGGTTGGCATGACAAGCATCTTCCCGGCCAATGATCGGGCCGTCTGGTTTCGCTTGTCTCGAACAACAACCCTAACCCACCTCAGCTTAAGTTACTTCCAGCTCAAGAGGTCATTTATATCGCAGGCTCTAATAGGTAATAGCTCTAATAGCTCTAATAGTCCTAGTCGCAATTCGAAAAGCATAGAATGTATTACATCAACCGTGGTTTAACATAGCTAGAGACAAATTTGGAACCATCAACTCAGCCACCGACTTTTGGCTGTTGTGAATTGACTCACCAACTAACCGCACCAGTGGGCTTTACGCAGCTATCCTCAGTATTTTGACAGCCAGAAGATCAATGTCTATTGTTGAAAAGAACAAATAACCTAATTATATAGAGAAACAAAACGCAATTGAAAAACAGAAAAGAGCTTCTCAAGCGCTTTCCGGGGCAGTTGGTACTTCAGCCTCCGGCACACGTCCCCCGTCACGAGATACATCTGGGCTTCGGCCGCCACCCGGGCTTTGCGTAGTTACATCCAAGCCTCCCTCCCCTAAAGCATCAGCCGGTTCCGCAGTATTGATCTCAGAGTTCCCCGAGGATAGCTGATCCCCTCCGGTAGTGGCGTCCCCGGCTGCCTCCCCCGGCCTTGCAGTCGTTGACTGACCTGTAAAGGTCGGGCCATCTCCTCTGTCTAGAGCTCTGCCTGAGCCCATAGAGAAGGTCTGTTTTGTAAGGACATGATCACCAGAATGGGACCGATCGTGTTCTAAGACCCCGGCCGGCCCATCTTCTGCGGAGGCCTCCCCATCGGTCTCTCCATCCTCTTCGACGTACGCGTGCCTGGTCTTGCTATCAGGTCCAACAGTCGGGTCGCGTGTGATACTCGCTCGCCCAGTTCCGGATATCAGGGCCCTAGCCAACTCAGCCTGAGCTTCGTCAAAATAGGGCGAAGGGCGTGTTCTATCCGAATTCACCCAGCTCCCCGTAGAAAGCGTACCTTCATTACTTGACTCTGGGGTCGTTGCTGGTAATGTATGCTCTTCGGGAGGGTTCGCCACATCATTCTCATGCCTGGTGATGCCGGCCTGGGTCTCCCCGCTCCCTTCTGTCGCCCCAGATGCCTCGCCTTGCTCGATGTGAGGAACCTTTGCTGCCCTGTAATCTTCCACCGCGGCCGGTCCGCCAGATCCTTCCCCATCTTCTCCATCCAGACCTCCCCTCTGCTGCCTGTAATGCTTTTTTCTACGAGCCCTAGCTCTAATATCCTTTCCACGATAATACCCTGGTGTTCCATCAGTAGGATTACCGTTATCCCACGGGTTCTCACCAGAAAGCTCCGGTGGGCTCGGGCCGACGTTTTCTACTGGGCTCCCGGGGGCTGCCGGGCTTTCGGGGGCTGCTGGGCTCTCGGCGGCTGCTAGGTGCCCGCTAGGCTGTCCCGCTGGGCCCCCGCCAGGCTGCCCCGCTGGGAACTCGAGCACGTCGAGGAGCACCGGAAAGACATCCTCAAACCTCTGCCGCCGACGTATTGAGATACAGCCTCCCATATCTATATTTTTTCGGGTAAGTAAAAAAAAGATTTCTGAATATAGCATAACAGCCGAAAGGTAAGAAGGAAAGGGAAGAAGGCAACAGACGACGTACGGGGTTAATAAAACACATTTTGTGCCGGAAACAATGTACGTGTCATTGTCAACTCATCGTTATGTGGCACCTGGCCGTCTAGAGGGCAGAAAGAACCCTTTGGCTTCACTTTCGCCGGCTTGAAGAGGATTCAGTGCTGGCATTATAGCCCCGGGCTGGAGACAGTAAGTGAATTATCGGTCGGTCAATACATGTAGTGCTGGCATTGCCTTCCCGAGTGATAGTCTATGAACAGGCGGCACATATATAATATGCTCTCCTCTAATCCAACAGAGGAACACAGCGGATATATAATATCATTATTCTGACATCTTGAGTTGGTTTTACAATCCTAGAATATATACTGTTTGTGTTGTATTCCATATGTTGTAAACGTCGACAGATGTTCTAACTTTACGGGGTTTGATGAAGTTTACTTAATCTGTCTCCTGCAACATATCCTTTACCAGCTATGATAACACCACTATTCGACCTGTGGTCAGATGATTTCTCTACGTATTGCTTAAAAACCTGGATCGCACACACGAATGAATTATCAACCACCTAAAAACCTGGATTTGTAGTGTTGCTCGGGCTATTCGAGTGATAATACATGATGCATGATTTCTTCAAATTATTTCAAGTACAGAGCAGCTATGAACTGAAAATATTCTACTCTACTTTTGTTAAGATAGTCGACAAAGGTTCTGCATGGAGTAGATACACAAAGTTACCAAGATCTAAGAAATTAGGACCCGGGCAAACAAAATCGGTCAAGGTTTTCTCACAACCTGTCTACAAAACCATAACTTTTTAATACCCCGTATACCCCCGTATTCCCCGTATTCCCCGTATCCCAGAGCCTCATATCATCCTAGAGAACGGGGGAAAAAAATACCAAACCGTCCCCGTTGCTAACGACCTCTATTACCCAGAAAGTGCGGTGGCAAAGAAACGAGACAGAACACAAAGACCGACCGAGAAAACCCATCCCAAGAAAGAAACGACAGGTAAAAATAGCAAACAAAAAAAAAAGAAAGAAAAAACTGGGAGAAAACGATTTTAGACGGAACCACTAGCCATCATCTTCTTCCTAAGATGGTTCTTGTATTGTCCGATGGTGCCATCCCATTTCCTGATGGTCCTGTTTTCGCACACAAGAATATCCTTGGCAATTTTATCGAGCAATCTATTTCAAGGTAGAAATTATTAGTCACCGTGGATGCACTTGGTAATTTTGGCCTGAAAGCGGATGAAACATACCTGAAATCGTGAGAAACGACAACGACACCTCCGTCGAAGGCGTTGATAGCGTCCGCCAAACTGTCAATTGTTGGAATATCCAAACCGTTGGTAGGCTCGTCAAGAAGCAACATGTTTGGGGACTCAATGGCGAGCAAGGCAAAGACAATTCTCGACTTTTGTCCTTCCGACAAAGTTCCAATCAAGGCGGTCTGAGAGTCTCCACTGAGACCATACTTACCGAGCTGTTGTCTCCAGTACTGGTAATCTTGACTCTTCTCCCTGTACTTTTCCCTGACAAAGTCCAAAGCAGACTTTGTCAAATCAAGCTGTTCCGCGGAATGCTGCGAGTACATTCCCAATTTCAAATGAGTATGTCTGCTAACACTCCCCTGGGTCGGCTGAAGCTTTCCGGTCATGATTCTAAGCAAAGTAGACTTTCCAACACCATTGGGTCCGACAAGAGCAACACGCGAGTCCATATCAACACCCAAATCAAGGTTCTCATAGAGGTAATCCTTGGCATCGCCGCTGTAGGAAAAGGATACATCGTCGAAGGAAAGAACAGGAGGAGGAAGCTTCTCAACCTCGGCAAAGCGGAAGGAGAATACACGGTCGGGAGCAACCTTCTCAATGAGACCATCTGCCTCCATCTTGTCGAGAATCTTTTGCCTAGATTTGGCTTGACGAACCAAATTGGCATATGTACCAGCCTAGAAACCATATAAGTATTTCGAGTAGAGTAAGAAGAGAAAGATTTTCTTACGGAGGCTATGAACTTCTTGATATGAGCAATCTCATCTTGTTGCTTGGTGTATTGCTTCATTTGGTTGGCCTCCTGTTCGGTTCTGGTCTTGATGTAACTATAAACCCCTTTAGTTTTAGAAACTCTCTTATCTCAGCTGGAAAAGAAAGAGGGGGGGGGGGGGGGGTATGGGGACGTACGTATCATAATTACCACCGTAGTAGATAAGCCTCCTCATTCTCATGTCAATCATGTTTGTGCAAACACCGTTCAAGAAATCCATGGAGTGCGAGACCAGTACAAGAGTACGATCCCACTTCTTCAAGTACTCTTCAAGCCACACACAGGCCTCAAGATCCAAATGGGCAGTTGGGTCATCGAGAAGCAAAAGTGACGGCTTGACGAAGAGAGCCTTGGCCAATGCGACACGCATACGCCAACCTCCGGACATGTCCTTGGTGTGCTTCTTGATAGTGACAGGGTTGAAGCCGAGACCAGTCAAGATAAGAGAGGCACGAGTTCCGAAGGTTGAAGGGTCCATTCCATCGATACGCTGAATAATTCAAATATACATTAGCAAGAGGACTCGAAATCATATATTTTTTCTCGCTGAAGGAAAACGATTTCCGGACTTCAAATCCCCAAAGAATTGCATACCTCGTAGAGATCCTCCAAGATGGGACTGTCATGACCTTCATTCTCCAATACTTCCTCTGCCAATTGTTCGAGTCTCTTCAACTCGTTCTCGGCTTGTTTTACTACATATTCCAAGGCACCCAACGAAGTCTTCTCGGCTGGCTCGTTGAGCAGATAGATATCGATGTGTTCAGGGATCGGGTATTCCCTCTTTGCGATAGCCTTAAGAAGGGTTGATTTTCCACAACCGTTCTCACCAAGAAGACCATAACGACGACCATAATTGAGTTCAAGAGTAGCATCTTGAATCAAGACCCTTCCGTGAAAGACTAACGAAACTGAAGTGACCTTGACGTCACGGGATGCCTCTAGAGATGCAAGCACACCGGTAGTGACACGGTCTGAGAGACCATGCTCATCTTCCTGCAAGGCGAGCTTTTCAAGTTTGGCTAACTGAGCGGCGTCGGGTCCCTCGTCATCGCCGTTGACAGAGGAGGCCTTGGAAGTGGCTTGAGAGGTAGCCTTGGAACCACCAGGAGTAGCGAGCTTGCTGGCTGCGGTCTTCTTTGGCTTCTCCTCACCAGCGGCACGCTTTGCGGCGCGCTCTGCCTCACGTTTTGCCTTAGAAGCGGAAACCATGGTGATAAGTTGGGTAGGAGTTGATTGATGATCTGAAAGATCAAGTTATCCCGCCGAAATGAGGGGGGTGAAGTGAGGAGCAAAGAGGGAGAAAGGTTCAGGTAAAAAAAAAAAAAAAAGAGCAGAACTGTCCTCTTTTATGTAAGATGCTCTTTTTATTTTTTGCACAGTTAAACGATCCGGGGCTTGTGGCGGGTCGTCTTTCTGTGTAGAGCTATTGGAGAAATGGAGGGGTGGAGGGGTAAAAACTCGGTGGGAGTGGGTACGATAAAGGTTGGCTAGGTGGGAAGTTCTTCTTGGACGGCTGTTTTTTTTGTTTTTTTACCCTATCCCTTACCACCCCCCATTAGTCAATGATGTACCTAGAAGCGTATGTATCCTTTCCAAAACTTTCGTTTTTTATCTTCCAGCTACTACATCTTCATACCCTGCTGAGTTGGCAAAGAATCTTATGAAGTCCGCTTTAAATGTTCAAATACTTTCTTGTGTAATTGAAATCACTGCCATATTATATGAAATCTCAACTCACTTTATCTTCTTGCAGATTAGGGTGATTTTCTTTCATTTTGAAGAGATCTAGGGCTATCGTCGGCAGCCCTCTGGCGCAGATCTGGGACTGGGAAACCATAAAATGTAAGAGCTTACGTACATGACAGCTATCTGCCGCGCCTTGGCCCGATTGGAGTTCGCGTCAAAATGCAGACTCGAGAGTGTGAAGAGAAATCTGAAATAACACAGAAACCTCTTAGAGCGTTTCGGTCGCACTATACAAGTAATTTGATGTGGAACACTCTCTGCCATCAAAAATGTAGAGGACCTCGTACTACTATCGGGATTTTCCCGTATGACGTACATATAGAGAGAGATGTTAGTCATCCTTATTTTCAGCCTCCTCATTGGCGCGTGACCCAAGATCACCGGCAACATGAGGAGATCCCCTCTTTGCAATCCGAACGGTTCATCTAACTGCATACTCATATCGTCTTCAAACCTCAAACTTTCAGTTAGCTCAAATACTACATAATAGAGACAATGGATCCCCCTACTCTAGACTGGTGGCAGGAGATGGTGAGGAAACGGGAGGAAGAAGGTGAAACCTCCTCCTCCTTCCTTTCATCCCATCAACTTTCATTCCATCAATTCATCCCCGCAAAATGTTCAATAATCTCGTGAAATTACGAAGTAAATTCTAAATACTGATTTGGTCCTTGACCAGAACTTGCTTCCTACGTGTTCGCTGACCGCCTCAAGCTCACTTCAATGTCATTCTCCCAACACGACAACCACCTCCGTAATGCAGCCCACTACGACAAACTCCTGAAGAACTACGCGCTAGAGCTCTCCAAAGCCAGAGAAATCGCCCCGGAGACACTGGAAGGCATGAAACCACTTGTCCCCAGCTCTCTGGCTTTTGTGTGGCTCTCTTCCGGCTATATGTTGAGGAGTGGAGCAGCATGTGTCAAAATTGGGCTAGGTGGTTAATATTGAGGTTTGTATCCAGGGCTCAGTGAAACCGAGAGACTTTGGGTCTTCGAGATACAGCGCATGGAATGTTACGAAAGTGAAATGGCCATCAGGAGAGCTGGCATTGACACCATCAAAGAATGCCTGGATAGGTACAAGTCAAAGGAGAAGTTCAACGGTAGGCACCAAGTGCCACGCATTCCATGTCCGAAAATTGTTGGACTAACATAATCAATAAAGAATATGCACTGGAGAGAGTTAAATTCTATCGAGATGCAGCAAAATCCCTTCGGGCAAAAGGTAACTCGCAGCCAATTCCTTTTTGGGCATCTTCTCTGATGCATCACAATAGAACCCCCCATTTATTCTCCGACACTCCGCCCTGGTCCAATTACCCGGCTACCTCCGGAACTTCTTCGCATGATTCTAAAAGACTGCTGCGCCGAGCCAACGGTTGCAAAGGCAGCTCGGGTATGTCGCGAATGGCACCACATTGCAATCCCACTGTTGTACAACTCGGTAGATCTCGGTGAAGGCGTTGAGTTGGAAATGTGGGTGGTTAATGGTAGTGAATACCGCTGGCACAGGGAGGGACGGGAAAAATCAGATGCACGGATAGCTCCCATGTCATTGAGCGTCAGACTGTTACACACACTCAGGTGAGTGCCTGTGTGTGCATTGAAGAACAAAGGCGTTCTGTAGTATGACTAACTTGATATTGTATCATTAAAGTACCACTCCATATGTGAGGTATGTACGGAAGTTATCATATCGTGGTCTTTCGCCATCTTCTAAATCATCACTTGAACGTTGGCCGAATTCCTCCATCCGGGAGTATTATGGTGAAACTGGATCCGTAAATAACGCAACGCTCGTGAAGCTCCGCATCAAGACGGTGAACTTGATGATCGCGGCAGCGAAAAGGGTTTCTCGGCTACTTGTTCACCTTGAAAACCTAGAGCTTCGCGGGAAAACAGATTTTCGAATCTTTGACGCTTTTCTCGGTGTGCTGAAATGGAGACCGTTACGGCAGTTGACGCTACATGATATGAATGTCAGGGCCTGCCATTTTGACCGTCGGCCATTAAATTATTCTATCACATCACTAACTCTTGATAATGTTGTTTATTATTTTGGTAAAGAAAAACGCCGGCGGCTCGGTGCATCTGAAGCGAACAAGTTATCCAAGGTTCGAGGGACAGAGAAGATATATTCCCTCCTCCGAAAGTGTCCTGAACTCAAAAGTTTATGTATCACGGACTGTGACTTCGACATGGAACAACTCCTTGAGTGTAGAGCATTCAAGCAACCTGAGAAACCTGTGATAAACTTTCCTAACCTTTCCCATTTCCATGTTTATTCCAGCATGGATCCGCCAACGTGGGATTACCATTTACGCAACCAGGTGCATTGGTTCCTTTCGAGACACCCGCATATCCAGACATTATCTTGCAATGCTGGATTGCTAGGTAAGGGTTGAAAGCTTTTCTTGTCAGTATCGAGTCAAGCTAATTAGCTCCGATTGTCCTATGCAGCGAGATTATTGCACGGAGCGAGCAGTTTTACAAAGAATCCCGAATTCGCGATCATGCCGCAAAATCTTAAAAGATTAGAAATTGATCAACTATTCTCGGGTACAGACACGGACTATAGTTCGGGCTCGCAGGATGGGCAAATCAACATGAAAGAATCATTACCGCATGTTTTTGGTATGATGCCACTACTGGAAGAACTGCAATTCAAAAACTTTCCGTGGGGTCGGAATTACCTGAGGAGATGTTTGCAAGCCCTGCGAAGCAGCCCAAGACTAAGGATACTTCGAATTCTGGAGCTTTATTGGGAGGTTACACTACCAATACTGCAGGATTTAGCAAAGTTATCGCCCCTCTTGGAGAATATTACTCTTGAATGTGTTGGAATAAAGGTCTTTGACGAAGATCGGGATGACGATTATGAGCGATTTGATATTGTAAGTTAACCCCACAAACCCTTCACGAGCCTTCTCGCTTACCACATATGAAACAGAAAAAATTAGCCCAGACATTGTCACCACTTTATAATCTCCGCGAACTTTCTCTCAACTATTCCATCGAACCCACCACCCCCGCTATCTTCGCCGCACTCTCCCCATTCCCCATCGATCCTCGTCTTCGATATTTGTTCCGGGTTTTTGAGGGTTTGCGTGACAACAACCCCAAAGCGTTTGAAGAAGTTCGTGACGAATATGTTGTTGTCGTCAGCGATGCTGTGGCCACATTTTCTAAACATTTTGTGAAAATGGATTACCTGAACCTCGCTGTATGGGAAAGTGCACAATTCCTGGATGGAAATGAGCTTTCTTTACTAAGAATCGATGGGGATTGCGATACAAGACGGACGTGTATAGGCTGGAAGCAGGTGCTGCGGGGTGTAGGGAAGTTGGATGTGAGAATGAATGCTGCTAAGGGAGGAGTTGGGGCTTGCAATTTCGTTGGACGGTGGTGATTTAATTTTTTCTTTATGATTTATGACGCCGGTGGAACACTTAATGGCAATTTGTGTGTGTACCTTCATTGTTTTTGTTAGGTCTTTTGTTTCTCTCAAGCACTGGATATTCAGGCACTGAGTTAGTACTCTAATTACATGTAACGTCTTCATATTAGTAATTGTCAAGCACGATACCCTCGTAAATATCTGGATCAACCAAAGTGCTCCCCTCCCTGTCCCGGCTGTTGCTGCGAAAAAGAAAACCATTGCAAGGTACGACCGTCGCCCCCACCACTATTGGCCCACCACCCACCACCTCACACCCAATCAGCGACTCCTTCGTTCGGATAACATTCATCACACAGCACCGCGGAAACTCTGATATAAACATTCGTTTTTATACCCCGCACTCCACATCTACGATGCCAAAGTGGAGTGTAGCACTATTTCACATCGCATAATCGTATCCATAGCCCGGGACAATACCCTTGCTCATCGGGATAACGGGTATGCACTCGATTTAAGCATATCCCAGCTACAAGGTGCACATCCCAGGTAGCGGAATAAAAAGTAACAAAAAACAGCAATTTTTTTTTTCTTTTTTTAAATAACAGTACTTGAACCCAAAACTCAAGAGAACGAATAAACGAAATACAAGCATTACTTTAAAAAAGAGTGTGCAAGAGAGATAAAACACCCAAGAACAGAATACCACGGAGAGATGAAAACGAAAGGGGTGTCAGAGGTTTCTGCCAAAACAATCTTCTTCCTCCTCCTCTCTGCAGATTTTGGAAACTTGCAAATGTAGACAACAAACAGACCTACATAAAAGAAATACTCAAACACCACAAAAGTTAGACCTCCCAAAATCCTACCACGCCTAATACTTTTTTACGTTTTTCTTGAATATTTTCCGGGTCCCCCAAAGCTATTTATCAATTTCGGTATCTTCAGCACTTGGTGGTGTTAACAAGGTGAGGAAGGCGGGAGGGGGAATTCAAACCGCTCCAGGAGGGTGTTCATTATCCAAGAAGGGACAGTTCGGGCGAACACATTTTCCACCGCGAACACTCTGGCAAGCATGACCCCGATAGCACTCCTCATTAATGCATCCCTGGCCGAACTCGCAACGAGTCAATCCAACCCTGCTTCTCATTGCCTGGATCTCGACATGATTCAGTTCATGTCTGTGGGAGAAGAAGCAAGATTCTTTCCAGCACGCGCCGACCAAGTAATGATCGTTACACGGGGGTGGTTGCAGGGTCTTGAGGCGTGCGAGCGCAGCCTGATGATGGACTGGCGGAATCAGTTTCGAATTCTTCGATGAGGATGAGCCAATGAACAGAGTCTTTGGTTTCACAAAGGCCGGTGCTGAATAATTATTATTTGATACCGCAACAGTTGCATATGACCCGGTAACTTTGGTAGTGGTATTGGTAGTAGTGACACTGTTGGTAGCAACTTGGACATATGAACCCATGCCCCGCGTAGGGGAGTCAGTAGATTTTGATGATGTTGGCCTTGGTGGGACTTCGAGCTTTTGAGATTCGAAGATGTGAGTGTATTTTGTACTCGGGAACTGGAGTTGTCTGACTTCGCTCGCAAAGGGCGTTCCTTCTATTAAGAGGACCTTCTCAGTGTTTCCATCAGAGTAGACAGAGCTCAGAGTTCGGGCATAGCCGTTATCGTGAGATGCACCAAGAATAACTTTAACGCAGTTATAGTTGTCCAGATTCCATGTGAGCTCAGCTGTTGGAGGTTAGCTTACAAAAGTTATGCATACTATAGACCGAGTTTGGTAGAAGGGGGAGTGGGGAGAAAATAAGATGGGGACGGATGGGACTGTATGTATATACCCCTAACTCGACTATCAACCATTTCCTTCCCATCACCTACATCGATGAAATAAAAATGTTCTTTACACTGAGTAAAACCCAGAGTAAAATCTTTAAACTGCTTAGTCTCCTTAACACGATCTGCAACATGGAGGACTGTAGCCAGTTTATGAAGATTGGCGAAAACCTTAACGTGAACATCAATCGATTCGTCCGGAAATTCAGATTGGACCTCTTTTGTAATTTCCTGGAGGAGAAGTCTTCCTGCCTCAGTTCCACCAGCTTTTCCCTGGGCTAGAAGATTGTCTTTGAACTAGGTTTATCACGTAATATGAGCAAGCAATTAAGTACGAACTGTGTATTGACTCAAAATTTACTAGGACGGTGTTTTGGGGACATACTATCATGCCATCACCGTCTATCAAAACAATTACATATCTATTTTTGCGCTACGTCGCCACCAAAGTTAGCTAAGAAACGGGAGAAGAAAAAGAAGAATAAAAACGAGAAACGAACGGAGAGCAGTGAGGGAGGAAAACGACGAGTAATAAGTGGTGAGAGAGAAGAAAAATCAACGAGTAATAAGTGGTGAGAGAGAAGAAAAATCAACGAAAGACGAATATATTAATACTCGCTACATGGCAGGAAAATTCTTACAATTCCGTGAAGTTTAGATTGGATCATGTTTAGCTCTCTCTGTGTCGCACGGCACGACGTTTTCATAGTATCCAAATCCAAAGTCTTCTCGTCCACTTCTGCAGCCAGCTTCACATTCTGTCGGAGAAGTCCCTTCAAAAGCAAATAATATCAGCAACTGGCTTCATACATGCACCCTATTCCCCACCCCATCGCTTCTCCTGAGCTCAATTATATCAATTTCTGAGGGCGGGGAATCTCACTTCAATGAACTCCATAGTTTCAGCTTGTTGGGCTTTCACCCGGTCTAGTCGCTCCATTTCGAATAAATATATAGCAGATTTGTAGCTAAAAGTAACTGTAATTCCATTTAGTAGAGGCTCAAAATAGGTACAAGCGTAGCGCTCCCGCGGCCACGAGTTTGGATTTACCTTCAATTCTCGGCTACCTTGTATCTAGAACAGATGATTAGCTCGTGCTCTTTCAGTCCGTTTACAGAACAGATAGAGACGCTGTTGTTGGCGGTGTAAAAATGAAGATATGAGAAGCAGATGAAGGGGAAGGAAGAAGAAAATAATAAAAAGAGGCAGATGTCCAGTCTTTAACGCTGCAGGCGAAGGGGGGGAAAAAGAAACAAGAAGCCAAAACAGCGGAGAACTTAATACATACGCATACGCGCTTATGACACATCACATCACGTTGTTTTGAGAACTATGTAAGTTTAGCTACATCCAGATACTATGATATCAACCCACCAAGAAACAGTTTTGGAACTTGGTGATTTGGCGCATGGCCGTCAATCCTTACGGTTGGTTATTTTCTTTGGATAAAGAATAGATACCTAGCTAGATCTCGAGCTGCCATGCAATGCAGATGTAGAGTAGAGTACGTACTTGAATCGTGCAATTTGATATCCAGCCAGCCTGGTAGGCAGAATACGAGGCGGAAAGGAATGAGCCTTACTATTTGTGCCCACAATGTCTACCTGCTTCCACCTTCGGGCTCGGACTCAAAAGTTTCACCGAGTTCACTACGGGCCCTTCGAAAGCTGAATCCGCGATCACAGCCTTGCGTATTAGTAACCTCTCTCTCATGTCGGTGCATTTATTAATGAGGCTAGTACATATAGTTCTTGAATTCTGCGGGGTATGATCACCAGGCAGAGAGAGGCGTAAAGCTCGGTTATCGATAACATCGAGTCGAGGCTACTGTGTTGTGGTGTTGTGCTTCGAGGATCTAACTGGGGTTTAGTTGAGGCTCTCAGCTCATCGTTGCACAACATGCATTAATAACGTCGGCATCTTAATTTGGACACGTGATGGTGTCCATACTCTAGCTAGACCAACCAGGACTAACTGGAGTATGGTCAATCTCAAATATACGCTGGAGTGATATATGATACGCAGGGTGTTAGTGGTAGAGTCATGATGCGGTCATGCATTATCACTCGGCTCTAATCATAGTTCAATATACACCCGAGGCCTACCATTACTACATGTATCATCAGTAATGACTACTGCACCATCATCTCACTCACGAGACTTGTGTACCTTCTCGAGACAAATTTTCATCAATCTCGGGCTAAATACAAAAAATAATTACGATCTACCGCGCAGCATCTAGAAAACTGACGCCGTTCTTTTGGGGTCAAGAAGTGATATCCCTATAGCTAGGCCTCCCGCATAACTCGAGCGGGCCGGCGTTCTTCTTCATAAGTTAAGTACATGTTAAAGAAATGTTCCATAAAGACATTTATCTACTTAAAGGTTCTAGAACTCGGCGGAAGCTTTTCACTCTCAAATCTACATTAACTGACCATATTTATGATACCCTCAAATAGCATCATTTAACCTTAGAGAGGAACCAGCGGCGAGTAAACCACTATGGCATTTATCCCTTAAACCATCGATGCATCACCTCTCCGCAAAACTAACTTCTAAGCCTATTAAGGTTATTTGGAAAGACCGAGTTTAGAAATGGAACATACCCATCGGCAAAGTCCGAAGACTACTATGAAGGAGCCCACAAAGAGCGGTCACGGTATTATATCTACTTGTAAAAGTAGCAGCCTGGGAAGACACTCAAAAAAAAACAGCATAGATCTGCTTCAAATACTCAGGCTAACCCGGACAGGCTTAGAAGGAGATTTAGCAAAAAAAGTGACGGTGTAAGGGATAGAGGCTTCGTCAATGGGTGTATGGGGCTACAACGTACTTCGGACATCTATCCAAGGTATATTTTGTATACCTAAGCCTTGGCCTTGCCGTATGTTACCGACCAGATCTTCGTTTGAAAAGCCACCGTGTGCGGTTTCCACAGCAACATTCTCAACCTTTCGTTGCTCTCAGAACCTACATCAGGAATCGCTGCTCATATACATAGCGCCAAGTAGACGGATACACACCGCAAAGGGCTGAATGCCGACACATACGTTCGAATAGGGAAGGCCAGCGGCAATTCGACCAAGAGGGAAGGCAGATTGAGAATGTCCCTTCCCATCCTTATCTTTATCACACGCCGTCACTCGCAAGCAGCCTACGTACATGTAGGTGGTCTCTTTCCCCTCCTTTCCTGTTAGTTCCCGAATCAAAGTGGTATTCTAATTACATACATGTACCTCCGCAACTAAACCAAACTCATATCTTCATAAAAAAAAATGCTAAAAAACTGTACTATAGCTATATAAACAACCAGTCAATCCCGCCACTCTCCAACCTCTTTTTCCAATCCCTCCCCTCCCCTCCGCCACCTCTCACCTTTTCCCTATCACTATCCTTCCACATCTCCTCCAATAAGTTCCCCGCATTCTTGATATTGAACTGCGGAAGAACACTCCAAATATTCCTCAAGGCGCCCCTGACAAACTCCCTTTGCCCCTCCTCCATGGCCCCTGTCCCTGCCAGGAACACCGGCCAGACCGCACCCTTATACAGCACACTACCTGGGGCGATATGCCCAATATGTGCAATCAGTCTATTCGTCATCTCCATCAGTTCGGCCTGCGCCAGCGGTGGTAGCGGCGGCGACAGCACCTGGGCCGCAAAGAGGTGTACGGCGCATTTGTACGCCGAGACGTGGTGAAAGAGCTCTTGTGGCTTTATCTCGGCGACGGAGAGCTTTGCTTGGAGCTTCATATTAGGCATGCTGGTTTTGATCCAGTTTGCAGGGTCGAAAGCGTTAATGCGTGTCATAAGTGTTTCGGCGGAGGGGATGAAGTTCGTGTCCGATACGTCTGTAGTGGCAATGGTTGTGATCCCCGCTGCTGACTGTCGAGATTGGTTATTGAGCAGGGTGATACACAGGATAATTTGGAGGAGCTCAGCAGGACATCCAAGGAAGGAGTAGTCCTCAGCCTCTTTGAGAGATGTAAAGACCTCTGAGAGAGAGCTTCCCCATGGCTGGTAATCGCTCTCGGGGCCAGAGAATGCCAGACTACGGCCAATGATGTCGATACTGGAAGGGTTAGGAAAGGGAGGGGCAAGAAGAGGTGGGGAGGAGAAAGCTTACGCTGCGACGTGGGTTATAAGGACGGAGAGCATTGAAGACATGCCGCCTTTGATGCCCTTCATTCCGCCGCTGAGCTGGATCAGTCGTCGAGCGGCGCGGAGGTGGATTTTCCAGGTATTCATTCCCGAATCTAGGGCTTCGAAAAAAAGGAACAGTAACATTGCTGCGAGAACAGGCTCCGTCACGATCTTGCCGCCACATGTTTGCGTCTGCAGGGCATGGGAGAGGTGTTTATATGCCCGGCCCTTGTATATCAACGCATGAGTTTCTGGGAAGTTGCAATTGTTGCTGTGATGCCGTGCAGCGACTGCCAGAGCTGCATGTAGAAATGGCGGATTCTGAGCAGCCATAGGCAGTAGGTTCCGATATGGATTATCGCCATATCGCTCAAACAAGATAAAATCACGACAGACTCTTTCATCGACTAACAACGGCCATTAGGACATATAATTGCTACACGCACTTTCCACATACGGCATCACCTTCGGGGAGCAGGTGGCAAACTCACAATAAGATAGATAATATCGACCAGTTGCGTCCAGATCCCCAAAAAACGACGGGTTGAAAGGCGACAGTGTGTACTTTACATTTCGCGCCGGCCGCGCAACCAGTGCCTGAAACGAGTTCTCCGAGCCCGTGCCATACCCGCCTGGCGAAGCCCCATACGACGTCGTCTCCCATGTCCCTTCACTCCACGAGTCCAGCTCCACCACCCTCACAATCTCCTCCTCTTCCTCGTCCTCCTCCGACGTGCCCGACAAAACCGACCCCGGGCGGCCAACTTCGATTTCTGCAGCAGCCACGCGCGGCTCGACAAGCACTATGCTGCGTCGTGGGGTCTGTTTCTGCCTCTCCTTTGATCTTGGTTGCGCCGACGACGACTTTGACTGCGGCTGCGGTTGTGGTTGCTGTTGAGGCTGCTGCTGTTGTGGTGGAGTGGCAGGTACAGGAAATGTCTTGCCCATCATTTTTCCCCTGCTTGCCACCCCTTTGTTCCACACAAGCGGTTTCTTGTAACCCAGACAGTCCAACTGCGTCCGGGCGCATTTCGCACAACCGGGGAGCACACGATCACACCTGACGCGACGGCGGCGACAGGTGTAGCAGTCCACGGGCGATAAGGCTGTTGGGGCCGTAGTAGGGGGGGAAGAGGGGGTCGTGGCGGCCATCATGATATTGGGGAGGGGGATATTGAAATGATGTGCAGGCTAGACGGGGCAGGGAGAAGAAAGAGAAAACCGTTTATTGATGATCCCCAGGGTGGAACTAATGAAGAGTTACACAGATGGAGATAGCTGGGGTAGATGTTTTCACTCTAACCGCACACACACACGCGCACACACCCCACTATACTTGCGTTATATGGATTTAAACGGAGGGGGGATCTTATATGTCGCGTGGGATGATGGTGATACGCAGCGCGCTGAGTGCTGCTGACTGAACGGAGAATTAGAAGAAGAAGCAGAAGAAGCAACAGAGACCCCTATGGCAAACAGATCTTTGCCCCCCGTCTAATGTGATCGTGATCCACGTGGAAACGCCTCGATAATGTTCCGATGCATGTACACATGCATCTGGGGTAGCTGTATGTATGTGGAGCGGAATAACGGTTTGTGGGGGAAACGAGAATGCGATGTTTTGAGGATATCAGAAAGATCGCCCCCCTTATCTTTGAAAAGGTTCGCGATGCAAAGATCTGACTGTCGTTGGATTAGACTCAACTCACAGGGTTAGCGGCGTATGTCGCAGTCGGCCCGACCCCGCATCCGCTGTCTAGCGTTCCAGAAGTTTGGCCCAGATGGGAATTCGTGGGGGAGGGGATGTCAACTCGTGGGCTGTTGGAGACTTGTCTTGCTTGTCGTGCGCAGATCTGTCAGTATCATGGCTGTAGGGCGGTGGTGACTCTCTTGACAGGCAAGAGGAAATGCATTCAGGGTTTCCAAGACTTTGGCTTGCGCTAGAGGCGCTTGGCTGGGATTTCGTACCCGGAAGGGGAGGCAAATGTTAAGTAACTGCATTGTACGTGTCTGATGGGGCGTACACTCAGAGTATTACATTTAATTGGAATTCCGGATTGGGAATTGCTGGAAATGATTTCTTTTTCGTAAATTCTTGCTAACACAGCGGACTCTCGCTACTACTCACCTTGGGTGGGATTTGCGATTGTCAGTCCGAGTACCTCGAGCATCCAATAATATCCAACCAATTGTCTTCAATCGCGCAACCAATTTTCTTATGTTATCTCTCTACTCCAGCTGGTTGCCTGAATATACGGCTGCCTGAATTGAGTTGAGTATATACCCCACCAGCCCGCCCCAATATCCCTTCAACAACCTTTCTACATTGATTCCCCCACCCACACGATACCCAAAGCCACCAAAACCCTCCCAGGTCTTGTTATCTCACAGGCTTATTATCTTATCCCCCAGGCCTCACCCCCTCCTAAAAATGGCAGAAACAACAACCTACGACATCCCCATCGACCAGCTCGACTCGAACGGCCAAAAGCTGCTCGCATACGCGCAGGAGCACCCCATACAGTGCGGGCTCGTTTCTTGCCTTGTTGTCGCTGGCGTCGCGACCGTCGTTGTTCCACTTGCGATCAGCGTTGCTACGAATCCGGCGACTGGTGAGTACTAGTTTGATTGGATGGTTCAATACATATGGCATATGGGGACGGTCGTTTCAGGCCATGACATAGCTCCCCGGGTGGTGTTTAGAAAATACTATGGTCAAGTTGGAATAGCAGATCAATTGACCCATAATCCATAATTCTACCACCCAAACCTAATCAGCTACATAAACCCCCATACCTCACCCACTAACACCCCACCACAGGCCGCATCCTCGTCGCCGCCGCCAACTCCCAATCCCACTCCCAATCAAAATCCCACCCCAACACCCCCCTCGCCACGGCCAGCCCCTTCCTCGCCACCCTCCAAGCTATGACTACCACCGGCACCCTCCTCACCAACAGCGGCGCGCTCATCAGCGCCGGCACGCTCGCCGTCGACTGGGCCAAGGGCGTCGACTGGGCGAAAGGCATCGACTGGGCAAAAGGCGCAGACTGGGCTGGCTGGGCACAGGCCGCAGGGCGGGGGGACGGGGATCTTGTGCGCGGTGTAGCGGGACTAGGGAAGGAGGTGGATAGGGCGGCCGGTGGTGCGGTGTGGGCTGCTAATGAGGCGGTGAAGGGGGCGGATTGGGCGGCGGGGGAGGCGGTGAGGAGGGTGGGGAGGGTGGGGAGGTTGCTGAGTAAGTGGTGAGGTGGGCGTGTGGTTGCGGGGACTAATGGGGATGTGCGGGTTGTGGTTGTGGTTGTGATGTGTTCGTAGGGATTTTTCTTATTGTTCGTCCGGCTGACTTTGGGGTTTTGAGTGGTAATGATCGGTTTTTCATGATTATTGAACGGCTGTAGCCAACGCCTGGGGAGTATAAAATAGATGATTTCCCATAAGACCGCGACTCAGGATACCGGAGTCGACATACCCACATGTAGAGGATCCCCAATAAACCCAGAGAGCGGCTTCCCCAATAACTAATGAGTCATTTCCCAGTAATCCATTATTAGCTGTCTCGTTATACCCACGAAATCATCCTTCTCGACGAACTAATAAAACGCAAATAACTGAAGCAATCAACCCTTGTAATCGTGAATATTGCAGTGATGATGATGATGACCACGAGAAGCAGCGAGATCGAGAATTTAACCGCTTTCAGCCAGGTAGTTCTGCCCACCTTTCACTACCTACACGTACATACACGTAAATATAGACGTTTCCTCAGCTAGCACGTTCCGCTCAGCCCAACCAGTGATGCTTCTGTGTCTACTAATCACGTTTTAATTGATGAAATCTTCACATCCCTATTATGTAGATACATGTAGTAGATAACGGTTTGCATGGTAGACAGTAAATACTAAGGAACATATATATCCCAAACAGCTAGCTATAGTAGGCATTCGACTCCAGATGGCCCGTTACACCTATCCCTTAGAGGGCCGATTTGCACGAGAGATCTGCATACATATAGAGTACAATATTACTCGATAACAGTCAAGATAACCGGCTCTGTCAGCAAGCCGCCAAGTTTGCTTTTATCTGTGGGGGGAGGGGCACAGCATGCATTCCGCTGGCACTCCCAAGGCCCCCAAAACAAGTAGCTTCAATTGCAACTACTCGTATGTATTTTCGTGACGTATGTAAAAGGAACCACTATTGCATACCATACAAATACGCGCTAAGCCTACAATTTAGTATGGTATGCAATAGCGGTTCCTTTTATGTACAAACGTCATGAAAGTACGAGCGAGTACTCTTCCCATCCGCCGCGGATATAATTAACCAATCCCACAGCCGCCTGAACTGACCTGGCGCGTATATAACCACCGTATAGCCCCCTCAATTGAAGCTCGCCCCTCATCCGACCCATACCTTGCGCCGTTACGGAAATAGCTCTAATATATCTGAAAGCTTAAACCTCACATCAAATCCATGATAAACAAAACAAAAACCTTCATACTCTACACCACCAACCTCTTTTCCAGCGGCCGCACTGGAAAGATCTACCTCCACGCCTTCGAGCCGGCACCTTCCCCAACCACTACCACCCGCGGCAAGCCCATCAACATCGGCTTCTCCTATCCCGGCCTCACCAAGGGTATGTAGAATCAACTCTTCTAGAGCATCCCATCCCAGACCCGCCGGTGCATGTGCGAGTATATCTCACCGACAGCAACACCTACTACTAAATTTTGTTCCCTGGCCGAACCACCACCAAACTACCATGACTCCTAGCTAGAAGTTTGATTGCTAACAACCGCCCCAGCAAAGAGCCCGGCCGCAAAATGGCAGTCCAAGATAGGTAACAGCGTAGCCAAGTCCCCCTTCGCAACCGCCCAATCCATGGGCACGAGGGGCATGCCGTTCACCGTCAGCGGGCCGCTCGCCAATAAGGGCAAATTCAAGATGCGTGGTAAGTGGGTCAAGTGTGTTGACTGGCTAAGGACCGAGATGGTTGAGGGCCTTACGGGGGAGGGGGAGAGCGCTAGGGAGGGGCAGGCGGCGTAGAGTGCTGGCATGGCTGGGATGGAGAGGTTGGGAGGGCTGGGCGAGTATGTAGTTAATTAAGGATGATTGGTGTTTTTGGGACCTTTGGGACCTTGAAGTCTTGCTTGGATTTTGGATATTGTAAACACCGCAGTGCCAACAGTTAATAGGACTTTTGGAGAAATTAAACAATATCTACTCACTGTAACCTGATGAACCCAGTTCGTGCTAGTAGTAATAATGAGTCTTATAGGGCTCGCTCGAGCCATATACCGAAGTTGTATTAAACGCTCAGCTGATAACCCGCTAGTTTCCGACACTACAGCGCATCGATCTCTTCATTAGCCATGACTGGCCCCACGAACAACCAATCGCCTCGATCACAGGCCCAGATAAGCACCGGCTATCTGCATATAACTGTGGCCGCCTGAAATTTTTACCTGTACATATAACATGTGCCCAAACCTTCCTTCCTTTATTCCAACTCCCGATACCGCAACAAACAGCTCGATATGCCAGCAATCCCCAATTCCGAAATGGGAGAAACAAAAATCCACAAGATCGCGCTCCACCAGCTGGAAGAGAAAGGGCGAAAACTCATCGAATACGCCCAGGAGCACCCGTTACAGTTCGGTCTCATATCCATCACCATCGTCGCCGGCGTCGCCATAATCACCGTACCTCTTGCGCTAGGATTCAGTTCTACAGGACCTGTAGCCGGTAAGTGATGCAAGAAGCGAGCTCCAGTCCCATCCATAGCTCTAGCTGGGCCCAGTGGCCGTCCGGATTGATCACAAACTCCCTCACCCACCAGCCCAATATATCCCGCTAACATGCCTGTGTCCCTCTAGGTAGCATAGCAGCAGCATGGCAATCATCCATCGGCAACGTAGTAGCCAACTCCTTCTTCGCGCTCCTCCAATCTATGGCCATGAGTGGCACCTTCGAGACCATCGGCATCAGCCTCGTCGGCGCCGGCACAGTCGCGGCCTTCGTCGAATGGTCCAAGGGCGTAGACTTTCACCAGCTGATCGCCGGGTGGCTTCGATTTACCCAGTCCATTGGCTTCAACCCCGAGTCGATCGATTGGTCGGAGGGCGAGAAGCTGGTGAGAAGCGTAAACTGGGAGGGGGCGGCGAACGATGTGGCGGGGAGCGTGGACCGCGCGGTACAGGAGGCGATGAAGCACGCGACTTGGCTTGGGGAGAATGCGCAGGGGGTTGATTGGGCGCGGGTGGGGGATGAGGTGGTTCGTGGAGCGGGGCCCGTGATGAATGATGTGGTGCAGGGCGCGGGGTGGGCGGTGAATGAGGCGGCTCAAATGATTGAGATGTTTGCCAGACGTTTGATGTAGGGAAGGACCAAGTAGAGATCCATCTGTTCGTATTAAACACCGATATCCGGAGATTGGGCAGGAATGTTGCTACAGTAATATCAATATCAGCTCCTAAACCAGGCGTGTAATGTTATTAGTGTTGATATCATGCATATTAGAATTTATGTTACTTTGTTGCTATTTTCGTGTGCGCTGTAGACTGGCCTGACTCTTTTATCGACCAAGACCAACCAGTGACATATACATATATAACCACAGTGACGGATGACGAGACGACAGGCTTGGACAGCTCACCTGCACGGATTTGACATCACCTGTAAAGCCAAATGTCGAACACGCGGAACCGGTGTGTAATGCGAGTGATATACCATGATGCAGAATCTTGCGCGGTTGGTACGAGTCTCGAGAAGCGGCCCAAATCCCTCCACACGTTTGCATGGCAGGGCCAGTTGGTACAAGTTGCACCGAACAGTATTGTGCACCCTTGCCAGATGTACATAGGACATGCCCCGTCTCAGCTATAGCACCAGTATTGTACTCACAATTAGCGAAATGGCCTATCCAGGTCTGACTAGAGAGTTAACTGTTACGAGCCGCAGAATACACGTACTTAGTTGTTATTAGTGCTCACAACTACATTAAACACAAGTACAGATTATATGATGGAAATCTTAGCATTAGATGGAATGCCAGTATAAATATATCGTTCAATTGTCTCTTTGCATATTCTCACAATCAGATTAAGCGTATAGTACAAGTAGTAACGACGTTAGTACATACAGATTGCTTCTGCGCGTACGTCGATGAACCTAAGTATTCTGAACATATCCGTATCCCTTTGTACTGAGGATCGACGATATTATGCAGACCTTTGAAGCCTTTATTTGTAGTGAATTTGAACATATATAAGCTACATGTAACCCAGAAGAAGACTTTCGCCGTGATTTTACCGTTTAGAATATCCCCTGTTTTTTTTTTCTTTTCTTTTTTTTTCTTGTTTTTTTTCTTCGCATAACAGCTATTCGTGTTCAGAAATTTCGATAGCCTGGCAAGCGCACCTAACGAAACTATCTCATCATGTATACGAGCTTAAGCCCGGGCCTTTTCTTTAACCTATAATGTCCTAACAAAATATATTTTAGTATTATTCCAAGGCACTTTCATAAAGTCAAATCTGAGCTAGGTGTATTAAAATAAAATACTTACCGGTTCGACCCATATAAACTTCCAATGAAGCTCGGGCCTCAATCGTCTCATGATCAGGACCAATCCCAGCCCAACATTGTATACATTTACCCACGCCACAAGCCTGGCCCAGCAGGCTGAAGCCTGGGTTAGCCCATATAATATTAGGCATATCAAAACCTCTATTCATATCCTGTGGAAGTAAACTTTAGTCAGAAATCAATCGAAACAATCAAGTTGACGTTTATCAAAAGGTCAGTCTGGGTATATATACCGTTGGTTGCCTAATCCTGCATAGATAGACAGTGGCCTTCCTTTCCCGGCCCCAGCGAAAAAACCAAAAGCAAACCTAAATGAGAGGAAGAACGCTGGAGGGTCTAAGGACCAAACAAGCCACCAAAGAGAAAAGGAGAAGGAGAAGCACAATCTCGGGTCTGGCTCCGGAACGGAATCCTACGTGTGGCTGTAGTCTGTCCTTTGAAAAGCTTCTTCCTGTGACACAGTAAATCAGAATTACAGCCAAAGAATGATAGTACAAAATTAGGGTACTCACGACAGACTGTTACGACTTATCCCCTAGTCATTGCAACCCAGACCCGAGTTTCCCATCATCCAAACTGGTCCAGACGAGACCTTGTGATCATGATCTGTGGCTTGTATTAGGTATCAAATTCCATAAATCATCGCGTTGAAACAACAAGTCTCCATACCATACTGGCTATGCCCACCGCGAACGCAACTATTCTTCCTTAAATCGCCAAGCAGACCTGACGGCTTAAGCGAGGGAAAAATTGCTTCTGCGAAAAGCAGAACTGAGTCCCTATCCGGAGTCATATTATTAGCCTTCAAATAGTGTTTAGCCAATATCTAATAGTTAAAATACGTACTTCTGGAGATGATAGTGAGTTGGCGCCCGCTATAGATCTATAAAGTTGACAAGTAAGAATTGAATCAGAGAAAGTATATAATGAAATTCAAAGGGTTTAACAAAGAGGGTACCCACAGTATATGGGAGTTTTATTCCCACCACCACAGAACTGTTGGGCCTCTACCGTTTCCATATGCCGCATCACTCCCCAGTGAATCGCTCATAATCTGATGAGGGCTTTGCTAGTGACCTTAAACTGTCTCGCTATATATGCTGATACTATGAGCCAATGCATTTCCAAACTAGCAAGCTCGACGTTTCTGACATTAAATAAGATAGGACCCAGAAGGGTTTGTAGTGGAAGAAAGGATTAAGAGGAGGATACTCACAGAACATGAGGACTACCATAGCTAGTATTATTGATTCCAGACCATACTCTCTCTTTAGGTCTCTCTAGGCCCGAGCTCACCGTCATCCCACAATAGTGGTCCGGACGGAGAACTCGTAATCTGAGAGTACTATATTTTATTTTTTAGAATTTATCGGCACTGGAAGCCCCTGAAACGAGGCTGGGTTGAAAAGTTTCTGAAGCCTCCCCCCCTTTTGCTGTTTTTATGTTTAGTAAAAAAGTACCAGGCTAATTATAAATGCAGGGCTCTAGGACTAAACATAACAAAAACTCGCAGGAATTGCAGCGATGGAAAGAAAAAGAGATGAAAATAAAGTACTCACAGATGAACGATGTCATTGCAAAATTTGGTGATTTTCTACTCCTCATCCTAGGCCCAAGTGCCCAGCCAGCCACATTACTGGTCGACTGGGCACTTGTGATGCTAGGATTGAGGGTGTTAAGATATCTGTCGATAAAAGATATTTCGCTCCTACTACTAGGCCCGAGTTCCCAGCCAGCCACATTACTGGTCGACTGAGAACTCGTGATGCTAGAATTTAGGACACTGTACACCGCTGAGGAGATGGCAGAGATAAGTAAATAGTTCATCGAATTGAATGAGTGATGAAATAATGTGAGGAGAGACTTTACCTTGACGAAGAAAATATGATTCACGTTATTCAACCCGAGAGGTATGAGAAAGAAGAAAGAATAAAGAATTGGCCGAGAAGGCAAATGCGACTGTGTAGTCATAATGAGCCAAAGCAGAGGGATAGTATGGCAATGTGGTGGGTACGGTGGATAGAATGATGAAGAACAAGCAGGAGGAAAAGGCAAAGGAGAGTGATCAGAAGCTAGGAAAATTAGGGAAAGGATAAGTAGGAAGAGAAAGAAGAGATCCCGGACCGAGGGATGATATCGAATGTCGAGATAGATGACAGAAGTGGGAGATGTGGGAGAAGGAGGAGAAGGAGGAGAAGGAGGAGAAGGAGGAGAAGGAGGAGAAAAAGAGTAAGCCAAAAAGTACAATCTCTCGGTGACGACGGCACAAGCAAGCAGTCTTCCTCGATGTTGGTATTAGTTTACATGTAGCTAGGTATATTCTGCGCCGAGTATACGGGGATGTATATCTCCGCGCAGCAAATCTTAGGCAGTACCAGAACCAAGTGTGCTCACGATACTGCGTGCGCGGCTTTAGAAAATGATTGTATAGTACTGTATAGGTTCGGTCAAGTATTCTTTCAGTTCTAATTCATGATACTCTATAATTGTAATGAGAAATCATTTCCGTTAGCATCACTATAATTGACTCTGGGTTGTCAAGGATAATGAGAGCAACTTTTGCAGACTTGGTACAAAGTGAATTTTTGACATTACGTAGTACAATCTTTTATAGACGATATTATATTAGCATTATCTAAACGCAACATGAAATACTGGATGGAAGTACCAATTCCAGTAGGATATCATCAAGCTGAGAGTCCCAAACTGGCCCACAGACAACTGCAGAACCACCACCTGCTGATACCATTACACACCGCATGAGGGTGACAATAACAAGCCTGATGCCCACGTGTATTCTCACACGAATACTCTCAGGCCCATTTCGAGTTATGTAACGAGACGAATCGTAATCGGCGATTTCGGGACGTTCAGAGCGATTGCCTTTGTAATTCAACGCTCTGGCAGTGACGCAACTAAGCACTTAACATTTGTCGAGTGCAAACCGATCTGGACCGTAGATATTATACTTTTGAGGTTCTCTAGTCAAACACTCAAAGCCATGTGTCAAGATGGTGTCCAGAATCAATATTGAAGGCCACGGGGCGGTCAATACTACATATGTATATCCCATACCAGAATCCTAGCGTGGAAGAACCACCATCCTGCTCCTGAATCACGCAATCAACTCCGAGTCCAATACGCGAAATAGGTTCCCAACTCTACATGATGCACTGCCTTAGTCTGCCTACCCGTCTTTCTTGGGTTTCCCGAGACACCTACTCGGGGCAGGTAAAAAGTACCGGACAATGCAGGTTTTTGGTTCACCAATGGGTGCGCGTGCTAGGCGTGAGCTACTGCAAAAAAAGCCCAGAGACAAAACTTGCATTGTCCGGTACTTTTTACCTGCCCCGAGTAGTCCTGGTTGGACACATATGCGCGACATATATAAGCTTCTGTTATGTAAGAGGCAGACCGGAAACTCCCCGCATCCAACCAATCGTCTCACGCACACTGGTGGTACCAAAGGCAGATCATGAGACCTTGCCAAGACCTGTTGCACGGATGTCTCCTATTAGTAATTGCCAAGAGTTCGCGATAGGTGGTGAGTGATTATCCGTGATTTCCAAGTGCGGATGGCTACTGATTGTGCATGCAGTCTTCTGACGGAAAAGAGTGATTGACAACAACTGAAATCGAGATTCTAGACTATGGCACAGACTCCGGGGTAATAATGTAGGAGTTAACGTTGAAACTACAGACGCTAGGTGCTTGTGTTAAGTACTACCTACATGATGTACGTACGAAAGGGTTAAGCATAACCTAACTGCGTGCAGACATACCTGTATTTCTCTCTTTCGTGGTACCTTTGAATACGCATCATGAATGTTGGAGTCACCAAGGCACAGAGTCAACTACCTACTCAAGCGAAGTGAGAGGGTTCTTACCTGCAGCGCCGCTCGTTCACAGCCAGCTTTAACGTAACAAATATCAAACATACTCGATGGGCTGTCTCATACCTTCCCAGAAATCAAGGTTGCCCTCCAATCCCCGGATTTCTGTTTGTCATGGAAACCTAGAATAGGCAACCGTTACAACAAAGACAAAGAAGTCATCATCACCATTGCCACACCCACAAACGAGGTTATGTAATTGGAAGAAAGCAGAGCTGTATATATATCTCCGCGGAGAGGCCTACATACCCCCTTCTACCCTTCTACCCTTCTCTCCTAAACCCTCTGTCCTGTGGTAGTAGGTTGGTTGTTAGTAAGAATGTTTAGTTGAGTTGCGAAGATGCATGGGGTTGGTTGTGACGTTTTGGGATGCCGTCACTTAATATCACCCTCGGTCCCACCTTCTCTAGCTCCCAGGAACCATAACAACGGCGGCGACCAGAATTTAATAACAAAAGATGGCAGTCCTTAAACCAGCAGAATCATTATCCACCTCTTCATCATCTTCTTCAGCTTCCTCTCCCCCAAAAAACAATAACAAACCACGACTCTCGCGGTGGCTCACGTGGAATTATAATTTCGACATTGACAAACATCTCAACCCCTACATTCTCAGTGGTCCTCGCCTCATCCGCCGCTTTCCCGATCTAATCCGTCATTTTCTAGGCTATAGAAATGAGCTCAAAAATGAAAAGGAGTCCGATCTGGTGATATGGCTATTAGCATTCGTGGGAGCTTTCGTTGGTGTACTGGTGCTAGAAGCGGTGTTTATGCACTGGCCTGAAGCTGTCTCTTTGGGTTGTCCAATAATCATAGGGTCCTATGTGAGCTTACCCCCCTGCCAACCAGCCAATGACCAAACAACTAGGGCTAATATTGCTTGTTTCCGCCAGGGTGCAGCCGCAATCCTTCTGTACAACGCTATCGACTCGCCGCTCTCGCAACCGCGGAATGCATTCTTTGGCCAGCTCATATCCGCGCTCACTGGCATAGTAGTTTCGAAACTATTTGCCTACCACCCACGCTTCGAGACTGAGTATGTATGGCTCGCAGGAGCACTTGCTTGCGCGCTTGCGAGTGTATTGATGGGCGTTACGAAAACTGTGCATCCTCCGGCTGGGGCAACGGCATTACTAGCTGCGGTAGACGATAGGGTACGCCACATGGGCTGGTTCTTGGTGCCAGTCGTTGTTATAAGCAGTGCGTTAATGATTGCTGTGGCGCTGGTATTGGGAAATATCCAGAGGACGTATCCTAGGCATTGGTGGACTGCTGGAATGGTCGGAAAGGATCTGAGGGCATCGAGAAGACAGAAGGACGTCGAAGTAGGGTCGGAGAAGGTTGAGAGTGAGCAGACGGCTGAAAGTGAGCTTGGAGAAGAGGGAGTTGTAATTGAGAGGGATAGAATCCAATTGCCGGAGTGGTTGGTGTTGGGAGAGGTCGAGAGGGATGTCCTGGAGACTGTGAGAGGCAGAATCCAGGCGTATCATGATGATGCGCAGGCGGACCGGCTGAGTCGAATGGCATCGGATGATTCAGAGCTCACGCTATGATGGATCAGTCTGCAAAAATCTGCCGGCCAAGCTGTCTCTTTTTTTCCTTTCTCTTGACAATTTTTTTTCTAAATTCCTTCTTGAGGTTTATTTTAGGAGTTTTTTGTTCGGTTAAGCATTTTGGGCAAAAGTCACAACTGGGGAGGGAATTCTCCCAATGGTTACGAATTGGACGAAGCACTGTGTACCACAGCATCGCTAGCATAGTTAGATAGCGTCGAGCATGATGATATCAATGAAAATGGAATGGAATTTATTTGCCTAAATAACTAGATAAAATCAGGATATTTACCCCCCCCGCTCCCTCTCGAATACCCCGCTATTAGATTAGAATCCCTTCAGCTATCCGGTTCCGCTTCGTATCGGTACGTACGAGAGCTAGATCGGTCGGCCAGACGGGGGAATAATGCATTCGAGTCAAGCTCAAGTATCACGGCCCCCAAGCTGATACAGCACCTGTACTGTCCCCCAGTCGCAAATCTACCGAGGCGTGTAGTACATGACATGTAGGCAGCTACAATATTACTTTGTAGCTGCCTACAATTACTTGATGTTTACATACAAGACACATACATTACACAACGTCAACTATTGCAACTAATCCAGGGATCATTCCGGTGGCTCCGGGTTTTCAAAAGTATAATGCAAATTCCCGCATCCATCGTCAGTATGTAGAGTGCTGAGTTTTAAGCTTACACACATAGCTGCTGTAGGGAATAATAATCGATCTCAACCGTTGTGAAGTGCATTGCCTGGGCCTAGGGTTCGATCAGTGCCTACAAGGGGACAAAAGTAATCGCAACGTCTGGAGTGGCGACTAGACTACGTATGTACATGTATGTACATTGCACTGCGGGCAGTAACCTAGTAAGCTGGATCTTGAGGAACCACCGGATCAATCTGCTGCCGTATTGATCATTCGAGTTGGATCGTCTGGCTGTTTAGGCGCATACTTGGACATACAAGCTACATGTAGTATTGTCGTCGCGTTTAGGTTCTGATTGCCGCTATGAGCAGAGAGGCTATGTACTGTAGCCATCGGTACATCCTAGGACCTAGGTACCCCTGCAATATATACCTTAAGTAATTAACTGCGGGGCACTCTACTCTGAGTCTACTCTGCTCTAGTGGGTATAACAACCAGAGAGAGAGAGAGAGGGAGAGAGAGAGAGAGAAAGAAAAGTAATCGGGGAACCAGAGGTATGTACATCCTGACAGAGAAGAGCTCGTATAGATACTATACTCATGTGGGGCTGTAGATTAGTATTATTACTCGGGCGACGTCTTCTAAACGGCAATTAGTAGACTTCTTATGGTCGATATCCGTTCCTATTGGCTGATCAGTAGCACTCACCCCATGTGGGTAGGTTGGTTGTAGCATCACCCACTCATCCTATTAATCCATTGGCTGAATTTCTACCAAGGCAGGCAAGCTAGCCAGTACTCTACGTAGTTGCTAATCGCAACAATCAGACGGTTCCGGTGAGGAACTATCACTACATACAGCAAAGGCAGAAATTCCCTCAGCGTGGAGGAAATCGTTCAAGGCATCAACAAATTGGGGTCCTAGCTAGTCGATGATAGCCTGTGAGCATCTCAGTAGCACAGCCAAGACTTCAGCCTGCACGCGATGCTTGCTCCTCTGGCTGGGTGTGTATCTATTGGCTGGACGGAGGAGGGCACCTGGCACACATCGAGCCCGCCGATCGTTGTGATTAGTCTCGGCGATGCGTTCCTGTTCCTGTTCCTGTTCCTGGCACAGTCGCAGTCAGTCAGTCATTCAGTGCTGCAGTGGAGTACCTGACATCGATATGCTGTCTCAATGGCCATCATCAGTCAGACAGTTCCTTGAAGACAGCTGCTAGACGCATATATATAGGCCTTGATACGCCCCGTCCTACTTTCTTTTCCACTCGCTCGATACCGCCATCACAGAACATCCAGCTACCAGTACAACTTCACTGCTGTACCAATCCAATTAGCTTAGCTTCTCAGTTCCTCTTCACACACTATCAAACTTCCTCCACCTCAAACCACCCAACGCAACCATGAAGTCCTTCACCTTCCTCCTCCTCGCCGCGGCCGCAGCCCTGTAAGTTCCTCCTAACCCCCCAGAAACGCACCCCATTCTAACCCACCCAGCACCTCTGCGCTCCCAACCGCAACAATCACCCCAACCGCCACCAACGTGTGCGCCACAACCTGCCCCACCGTCACCTCCACCATCCACCCAGGCTACCGCTGCGACGCCGGCTCCACCGAGACGCACGGCTGCCCCGTCGCCCGCTGCATCGAGCCAACCACCACCATCACCACCGCCACCACGCTCATCCTGCCCTGCTCCACCAGCATCATCACCACCACCGGCGGCTGCACCGTCCCGCAGAGCTGCGTAGGGAAGTTCCCGACCACGGTGACGGTCACGGGCGGCCTGGAGAACGGCTATCCGTGTCCGACGACGTGCCCGATTCTGTGTCCGCTGCCGACGGTCACGCAGAGTTACTTGTTGGGCGGCGGGTGTGCGGTTTATACGGCGGTTTAAAGGGTTACAATTGGGAAGAAAAGGGATTGGGCTGTTAAAGCTACGAGTATATGTGATGTAGCTATGTATCATGAATTTTTTGGTT